AATCGTATTCAAAACACGGCATCAAGGGTTGTGTCATGAACCGAAAGGTCAAAAACTAATAAGCGCATATAACATGTGCTTATTGATCTGCACTGGCTTCCGGTGGAAGCTCGAGTTGAGAACAAGATCTTGACTTGAACATACCACCGCTACAACCAGTCAGCACTTTCTTACTGACCCGTGAAGATCCGGGGTAGAGTAGGTCTTCAGCAACCCATGCTTGCTGAAAAAGGCGACTATGCTTGTCGTAAGAGGCGACTAACGGGATCGGATGGTCAGGCTCGCTGACTTGGTTGATGCATTGCGTGGATCGATCCTCATGATGTCAATCACTGGATTGTCTGTTCCAGACTCGATTTATTTACAGACCGCCGTCACATAGCTGGAATATTGCTGAGTGCGGCGTTAAACAACAATCAAACAAACAAACACTTTCTTATTTATCTGACATTATCCAGGTACTTCAACTGCCTAGATCCCTCCGTTCTGCTGAGAGCCATCTCCTTTGTATACCAAAGGTTTGGGCAGAGGTCATTTGCCTGGAATGCTGCAGTTCTGTGGAATCTTCCAGTCCCGCCTCAACCAACTGACAGACTGGTAAAACCAACTGAAAGACTTTTCATATTTTATATTGAACTATATTTACCTACAGTGAGAAACGAGCAAATGTTGGTTTAATGTAAATACCTTTGTAAACATGATATTACCTTTTAAATATAATTGTGTTGTGGGCGATTGGCCTTTATTACTGAATACATCTGTCTGTCTGTTTGCGCGGTTTCTCTTACGCATGTAAATTTCATACTATGGTAGTGGTCTCCCTGCATCGCTCATTTAAAGAGGTATGCTTTATTTAAAATGAGTGAGTGAGTTGGGTTTAACGCCGCTTTTAACAGTATTCCAGTTATATCACGGCGTGTCAGCTTAATGTGGGAGGAAAGCCCGAAGTAATGCAGGTCTCAGACGTTTACCACTTCGGTGAAACCCACGAGCACGGGTATGGTGCTGACAAACCTAGAAACATAATCGGGGCGAACCGGGATTCGAACCCACAATCATAGGTTTCTAGCGTGCCCATAGGGACGCAACTCTGCACAGCGAATCGCGGCGCCTTAGACGACTGGGCCACCCGTGCCCCCGCTTGATTTAAAAAGTGACAATTGCATGGCATCTTTTTCTTTTACAACACATATTTTTTTCAGGAGATCCAGCATGCTCAACGAACATTATATTTTATTTGATATAACCTGCAAACAAAAAGGGAAAATTGCCAGTTTCTTTCGTTCTTCTTTGAGCCGAATGATTCGTTCTTCTTTGAGCGGAATGAATAGACGGTTGTCCATTTGTTGTGTTTGTTTGTTTGTTTGTTGGTTGGTTGGTTTGTTGTTTAACGCCGCACTCAGCAATATTCCAGCTATATGACGGCGGTCCGTAAATGATTGTCCAGTGATAGACATCATGAGCATCGATCCACACAGCTGGGATCAATGACATGCATCAACCAAGTCAGCAAGCCTGACCACCTGATCCCGTTAGTCGCCTCTTACGACAGGCAGAGTCGCCTTTTACAGCAAGCGTGGGTTGCTGAAGACCTCTTCTATCCCGGATCTTCACGGAACCCATTTGTTGTGGGAATGTTCCCTAACAAACAATCATGGAAACAAATCCAAATATGGATTGAAGACATTCTGTTCCAAGACTAGGCACTGCTAAACTGTACACTGAGGACTTAAAGAAACTCTACCTCTCAGTTGATTTTTTCATGTGTTTGATTTTCAATTGAAAATATCTTAAGCTTAGACAACATTTACAGACCACGTCTATATTTTTTCAAAAGATACTTTGTTTTAAAACTTTTTAAAATTAAAAATCATATTCGCGTAATGCGCAACCGCTGATTGGTATCTAAGACATCTTATCTTTGAAAATCAATATTTTTCTTTTGTCTGCAAAAATTTATGACATACCAACATGATAGGTTCATGCGAGTTCACAGTTGGAAGAATGATGTTGGACGATAAATAAAATCTCACCCTTGTGTCTTTTGATATCAGCAAACCTCGGAGGTTTTTCCACATTTATCAACTCGTGTTGATATATTTGATATCAAAAGACACTCTGAGATTCTGTATATAATTACCAAGCTGACTTACTTCCCTTTAACCACACACTTTACCCGTTGGAACAAACGCGGTTGAATTGTCTCCCTTTGACCATGACAATAACTTTGTGATGTCGCAGAACATAGACCCAGAACAGATCCATATGACATTCTAATTTAATACATAAAAAACACATTTAAGAAACTATCTAGATTTAAACGTGTAGATTCTATAAAGTTTGAAAGTTCGTAAATTTACAATATACGAGGGGCGTTCAATAAGTTTTGCACTTCAATATAAGACCAAGTCGCAGAATATCTTTTGCACTTTTATTTTTCAATATAATCTCCATTCACCTCAATACACTTATTCCATTTGTCCTTCAAGCTTTTAATACCACTTTCATAGACATCCGAAGATTGGCCAACTAACCACGCCTCTGTGGCAGCCTTTATGTCCTCGTCGTCCTGGAAGCGTCTTCCATGTAGGGCAGATTTCATTTGCCGGAACAGGAAATAGTCACTGGGGGTGGGGGTAGGGTGGGTGATTTAACTGTACTGCCCAGACTTAGCTGTGAGTTCGCTTTTGAATCAGTACTGAAAAAATGTAGCCGGTGAAAGTGGCTTGTGTGAATTTTCCAGGACAGTTTCCAGTAGCCAAAGTATTCGACACAAAACCATTTCATCCTTTTTACTCGACGTTTTTTGTGGGAAGAATATTAGGAGCCGCTATAGAATAAATAATAGGCACTAACGGGTAGATCTACCTAACCCTAATGATCGCAAAGGGATGATTGATCGCAAAGGGATGATTGATCGTAAAGGGGATCCAAGGGCTAAGGCCTTCGGGGTAACCTACCCAAACACTGGCGACATTTGAATGTGTTCAGTGCCAATATAATATCCTAAATAAATAAGATTCTTGTGCATAAATATGAAAATTAATTAACTAAAAAAATAATATATGTATATTAGTTCTCATTTATAACCATTTTAGCCACTTGAATTACGAGAAAAAGGAAATAAAAAAATATAAACAATAAAAGTGCTTTCGTAAACTAGCGCTTACTATAAAATGCGCCGCCGTAGGCTATATTTGTAAATAAATATTCAAAACTCTCATCACCGCTTGGCGTATTCAATGACATTGCGTGTAGAGATCACTGGGAGGAGCTTATGGACACACGATGACCCCTGACGTCACAGGGCATTGTTTCGCCGATGTTAAGCTGGGGCCCGTCTCTAATATCACACAACTTGACGACGCGCACAGTGAGCCGGGAACCAGCTTACGCCGGTGTGGCTTGCAACAAAATACTACAAATTACGTCATAGGGTATTGTCACGTGTTTGAAAAGTTTGTGGTACTGTATTCTAAAGTTAGGCCGATTTGATGGACCATTTGCATCAGGAGCTATTGGGAATCGGAGTTGTTTATTTCTTATATGAGATATCAACATTATGTACAGCTTCTTTAAGGATGATGATGAAATGTACAAGTTTGAAAATATTTACCCTTATTTTAGCAATGATGACTCCCGTCAATAGAATCCGACCTCGGCAATGTCGGACAAGTCCATATTATGCTCAGGTAGGTATTTCCCGCATATTCTCACAATCCTTACCTCGATTAACTGTACCTTTTCTCCCAATGACACTCGTCATATCTCTCCCGCTTTTGGATGCGATCGTTCGGTCATCGCGTTTATCTGCATTGCCCAGCTACAACTATGGGGAACAACTCACCAGACACGCCCCTGTCAAACAACGTCGTTCAATATACGACGTCATCAAGTTGCGAGCGCATGTTCGAATCTAATGACGTCAGGATAGAACAATATTGTATCGTGAAATAAACCCCACTTCGTTCTTCATTGTTCTTTGTGATTTTACCGAGTAGCTCCTATTTACGTGTATCAGCATTAGCATACATTGGATACATGACATGCTGTAAACACGTGTTATTACCTATAGGACCGCCTCCGTGGTCTAGTGGTAGAGCGTTCGATCCCCGGCCGCGTCATACCAAAGACGTTAAAATATGGTACTTGTTGTAACCCTGTCTGGCGCTCGGCATAAGGGGCAAAAACAAGGACTGGTCGGCCCGTAAACAGTATACTGTGTCTGAGTGGGGTATTCATGTTAAAATGCGGCATGGTATCAGCCTTGACTAGTGACAAGCAGCACACACACACACACACACACACACACACACACACATGCACGTCGCTATATAAGTGCAATAATCTTGGACGCGACGTTTCACCTCACCTATTACCTATAGGGTTAGAAATAACCGAGTTCATAACAAAAACTGGTGCAAATATCACATCAGGTGCACCAGTGTACTGTTTACGTCACCCGGAAGGCATTGTTGGCGTCATTCGATTCTTACTGTGACGTAAAGTCGGAATGACGTCATACTAGAAACGACGTCCTCGATGATGGCTGTTGACATCATTCGACAATTGTGGTTTTCCAAAACAGCTGTCGTGATTAGTGCTTTTTTCTTAAAGGGGAGCTCAAGGGATTAATAAATAATGGGCAATAAAAGAAATAATTACACTGGCATGTGTGCCATACTGATTTCACTAAACTCGAGTTAGAACTCGGGAAGTACAATAATTCTGACACTCGTTTACTAAAAGCAGTATGACACACATGCTCGTAAAATAATCTCTATTCATTACACTCGCATGCTGCTTTTACGAAACTCGTGTAAGAATTCGTGTATTAACCTCGCTCTCGCTAGGGAAATTCTGACAATCGTTTCGTATAATCAGTATGACACACATGCTCGTATAATAATCACTATGTAGGTAATCCCATTGAGGGCACCGTTGGACGATAAATTCTGTCTAATGTTAACCTCATATAATTATAACAGCAGACCCATATTGGATATCAATATTTTAATTCAGTAAGGGTCATTTTGTCTTTGACTTCTGTCACTGCATCGGAAGACAGGTTTTCTTGCAGTCTTCGATGTCGACGAAGTTGTTGTCGTTGCCGCCACACCCGCCGTAGATAAACGTCTCACACTCTTGTGAGGTAGGGTTGAAGTAGAACCGGCGAAACGCGGCCTTGCAAACCCCGGCATCAGGGCTCAGGTTACACACTGAGGGAAATATATGACAAAGTTAATGGTAACTCATTTCAGTGAGTGAGTGAGTTGGGTTTAACGCCGCTTTTAACAGTATTCCAGTTATATCACGGCGTGTCAGCTTAATGAGGGAGGAAAGCCCGAAGTGATGCAGGTCTCAGACGTTTACCACTTCGGTGAAACCCACGAGCACCATTAGACCACAGGACTGGTCAGAAGGTACCATGTTGAGCGAATATGTCCTAGCCAGATATATTTAACGGCCGTTTCTTTAGACTGTCGTAACGCACATTTATAAATCACATTAAACACATGTTAAAACATGTTCATACATAAGTCGGATAAAACGCTTCTCCTCGGTCTTTGGTTGACATAGTAAATCTTTCGGGCAGCAGTGGCTGAGTTGTAATAGACCGGTCTCAACCTCCCTCTGGTTTTACGATGTCAACCAAAGTTTACGTATAAACCTACCCTTACTAAAGTCGGTAGTATGAACTTACCTTCATCAGGAAGCTTGGTACCTAGCAAAACAAGAAAGGAAATATAAGGAAATGTAGCCATGTGAAATAGTATGCAACCAAGCAAAATATGGAAGGAAACATACAAAAACCATTAAAGCAACCTCATTTAGATGAGATCTAAGTTATCGCTAAACAAAGAACATTTCACATCAATGCAACAAAGGTATGTTTGTTTGTCACACATCAATATTCCAGCTCTAAGACGGCGCTTGTAAACTGAAAACGCCAAGGCCATAGAATAATCAGTTTGGATCCCATTGGACATTATATGAATGGATCACTGAAAATCAGTGATGACACCAGGTGTTCTTGAGTGAGTGAGTGAGTGAGTTGGGTTTAACGCCGCTTTTAACATTATTCCAGTTATATCAAGGCGTGTCAGCCTTATGTGGGAGGAAAGCCTGAAGTGATGCAGATCTCAGACGTTTACCACTTCGGTGAAACCCAAGAGCACGGGTATGGTGCTGACAAACCTAGAAACATAATCGGGGCGAACTCGGTTTTGAACCCACAATCATAGGTTTCTGGCGTGCCCAAGGGACGCAACTCTGCACAGCGAATCGCGGCGCCTTAGACGACTGGGCCACCCATGCCCCCCAAAAAGATCTGGGGACATTACGGGTCACGTCAGAAAGACCTTTCATCCGACCAATCAGAGCGTCGCGGGGTATTCCGAACAACTGTTACAGGCTGTATGACTGATTCTGTCAAAATCATTGCCTGTCTCCCGCTTCAATGGGATAAACATTTGAAACGGAAGAAACTTTCCGTTACCCGTGGGAAATAAAATCTCGGCCATCTATCAAACATTCCAGAATTTTCTTTTGTTCAGTTTGCAGATTTTGCATCGAAAACTTTGTGAAAATGGAAGTCGCAATTCCGGTAAACAGGTCAAAGAATAGACTTATGTCGGTGGTATGAACTTACCTTCATCGGGAAGCTTGGTACCTAGCAAAACAAGGAACAAAACATAAGGTAATGCAGCCATCTGCAGTAGGACACAACCTAGCAAACTAGAAGAAACGTACAACCTACCACTACGGGAGGGAAAAATAATGTAATTCAGCCATCTGAAACAGTACACATTCTAACAATACTTGGGAGACTTAATGTAATTCAGCCATCTGAAACAGTACACATTCTAACAATACTTGGGAGACTAAATGTAATTCATCCATCTGAAACAGTACACATTCTAACAATACTTGGGAGACTTAATGTAATTCATCCATCTGAAACAGTACACAATCTAACAATACTTGGGAGACTTAATGTAATTCAGCCATCTGAAACATTACACATTCTAACAATACTTGGGAGACTTAATGTAATTCATCCATCTGAAACAGTACACAATCTAACAATACTTTGGAGACTTAATGTAACTCAGCCATCTGAAACAGTACACATTCTAACAATACTTGGGAGACTTAATGTAATTCATCCATCTGAAACAGTACACAATCTAACAATACTTGGGAGACTTAATGTAATTCAGCCATCTGAAACAGTACACATTCTAACAATACTTGGGAGACTTAATGTAATTCAGCAATCTGAAACAGTACACAATCTAACAATACTTGGGAGACTTAATGTAATTCATCCATCTGAAACAGTACACAATCTAACAATACTTGGGAGACTTAATGTAATTCATCCATCTGAAACAGCACACAATCTAACAATACTTGGGAGACTTAATGTAATTCAGCCATCTGAAACAGTACACATTCTAACAATACTTGGGAGGCTTAATGTAATGCAGCCATCTGAAATAGTACACAATCTAACAATACTTGGGAGACTTAATGTAATGCAGCCATCTGAAACAGTACACAATCTAACAATACTTGGGAGACTTAATGTAACTCAGCCATCTGAAACAGTACACATTCTAACAATACTTGGGAGACTTAATGTAATTCATCCATCTGAAACAGCACACAATCTAGCAATACTTGGGAGACTTAATGTAATTCATCCATCTGAAACAGCACACAATCTGACAATACTTGGGAGACTGAATGTCATTCATCCATCTGAAATAGTACACAATCTAACAATACTTGGGAGACTTAATGTTATGCATCCATCTGAAATAGTACACAATCTAACAATACTTGGGAGACTTAATGTAATTCAGCCATCTGAATTAGTACACAATGTAACGATACCAGGGAGGCTTAATGTAATGCAGCAATCTGAAATAGAGCACAATCTAACAATACCAAGGAAAATGTAATGACTCAGAAATGAGTGAGAGTGACTGTATAAATCATAAACAACCTCAGAAATCCGCACCAACAGGCAAGAAGACACCGTACGCTGTATAACTTACCATTGTCTGGAGACTGCTGACAGCTTAGCTCAGCAAGGAAGATGACAAAAGCTAAACAGACGACAACCTTCAACATGGCAGATGCGGACGCTTCAAGAACCTAGAGCAAATGACTTCGTGTATGATCGAAACACGAACTATATATCTTCTTAATCAAACAAGTCATTACACATCTGGCCTTTGTATCTTTTTTCCCATGGCAATTACTCTATTGAGGTGCAAGACGAAGTTTCGCTATCGCAGTACCAAGTCACGTCTCTGGTGCCAATTGATGCCAATTTGCCACACTGCTCAATAAACATCTATGTGCATGTGTGTTGAATGTGCACGGCTCTGCACTATGATGAGAACTATAGGCGTATCGGCACCTTCATACCGACCCCCGCCCACCTGTAGTGTCCCCTGTTCATGGGTACAGCTGGCCCCGTGGCTCCGGTACGTGCGTCTCCCACCATATGCTGCTAAACGTGAACAACACAGATATTGTATTCTGTCAACTGCAACTTTCGTCATGTCGACATGGCTATTGCGTTCTTGTTTTGAGACCACACATTTGTCAAACTTATTTGTTATATATTCTAAACTCTCACCACACGAATACTGTTTGACGATGTGCGTCACATAACAACTTGACTTGTTAATGATGACATCCACGACGGCGTAACGTCGCTGCCAGGAAAAGAAACGCTACATAAACCGAGACTACGATGACAGGGTAAGATGAACCGAGCTCGTTATTCTGCATTTCTCCATAAATCACGTATCGTATATTTACATTCATATTTGTCAGTCTAACAGACGCCACATTCTGATTACACAAATTTCAGCCGTTGGATGACTATGAGTATCACGTCAGGCAGAGTATACCTCGCCCATCTGTAGGGTATCATTGTGTTTGCTGTTTAACGCTGCACTCAGCAATATTCCAGCTGTATGACGGCTGTCTGTAATATTCGAGTCTGGAACAGACAATCCAGTGATTGATATCATGAGCATCGACCTACGCAATTGGAATACGATGACATGAATCAACCAAGTCAGCGAACCTGACCACCCCATCCCGTTAGTCACCTCTGACAAGCATTATCGCCTGTAATGACAAACGCGGGTTACTGAAGACCTAGTCAACCCCGGATCTTCGGTATCATTGGAGTGCATGTGGGGTTTGAAAAGTTTATGTTCATATTTTTGCTGCATGAGATGTTTGCAGCACATAAAGGTATACATGCTGCGTGTCATCTTGGTCACTTGTTTATTGTTGTTTCACACAGTATATAGCCACTGGTTTATTGATCACACAGTATATAGCCACTTGTTTATAGTTGTTACACACAATATATATAGCCACTAGTTTATTGTTGTTTCACTCAGTATATAGCCACTAGTTTATTGTTGTTTCACACAGTATATAGCCACTTGTTTATTGTTGTTTCACACAGTATCTTGCGCTCGGGATAAAAGGGGCTAAAAACAAGGACTGGTCGGCTCGAAGTCAGTATACTGTGTCTGAGTGGTGTATTCATGTTAATCAGCGGCATGGTATCTCAGTGGGTGAGAACTACAAATCGGCATCAGTCCGGACTAGTACAAGCATCCACACACACATGTTTGCACCTCGCTATATACGTGCAATAATATTGGACGCGACGTTAAACCATAGAAGTTTCTTTCTCAAAACAAAAGCTTACAGAAGCAAGTCCTGGGTAAGTTAATTCCCTGCTTCATTTTGCTTCACATTTCACCATACACCCTGTCACTGTATATCTTGGTCAGTGATATTCCGAAACACGAGTAGACTTAAAGAATACGCTCAGTAAATACGTATTTTTAATTATATTTTTAATCACCGGGAAAATTACACGTGCTTATATAAAAGTATTTAAAAATGTATGTTTTGATATAAGTTGCCATTATAAACATTCAACATCAGCGTCTACTGAATAATCAGAAATGTAAATCATGTGTCTATATTCAGTCGTGTGCCTGTTGATATATATCGGTCAAGTCAGATGCATGCAGGCATATGGGTCAACATGTCTCACACTCACGATAATTTACACAGTAATTCTACGTCGTTGTTGAAAGCGTCGAAGAGGAGTCTGAAGACGTCTTTGACACCTGGGTGATGCCCAAGCCTTCGGGCGTCTCCTTAGGAGTTTCAGCTGAGACGGATGTTGGTTTCCCACTGCTAGGAAAGGTTCCGGATGGCGGTTGAAAGACTTCATCTGCTGGCGTGTCGTTACTTGAAAATATTTCCTGACTTACGTTGCCCGTTTGGTTGTGACTGTCTGTTGAGTTCTGTGTAAGAGTGTCTTCACCCAGAGTTTCACTGTCAAATACACCACTCATATTGCCAGATTGGGTAGAATTATCGACAAAGTCCTGTATAACTATGTCATCTGGTGATTTGTCTTCATCAGATTCCTCAGTAAGAACCTGTGTTGTTTTCTGGCTGTCGGGCGACGGCACTTTAGTTGTGTCTTCACTTGTAAGGTCTTCAAATGACGATTCTAGATTTGACATGGCTACACCAGATGTCGTCTGCTTCGGTGTCCCATGAGTCACAGTGACAACAGGCACAGGCACATTATTTGTTGATGAGGTCGTGGGATTATTTGTTGTCGTTTTCTCAGAGGTGATTGATGTTGACTTTAACGTCGCCGCCGCATGCATATTAACAGGCATAAAACAGGCTTTACGGCATTGATCCTCTCGTTGGTAGTTGTTACCGTTTCCGCCACAGCCACCGTATATAAACTCCTCACATCGTTCTCTCACAGGATTGTAGAAGAAATGGATGAAGAGTCCCCTACAGAGGCCGCGGTCTGGTAGGGAGGCACAATCTGCGGAGGACGTGTCTAAATAATCAGGGGAGGTTACTCTCAGCGCTGCTAAAGAGGGGACGGGTTCAGTGGGCGTTAAATCAGTAGAATTGGTTACACTGTCGGGAGATTCCTCTTCCTCAGTCACATTCATGTCGGACTCGCTACTTAGGGCTGTAGTGTTTTGAGAGGTGTCCTCAGGGGTGTAATTGTCTGAATCTTCGAATACCTCAGCCGTCAGGTTTTGTGTTCCTGTGCTTGAATGAGAGTCAAGATCTGATTCAAATGTGACGTTACTGGAGGTGTCTGTGAAGCTGGTTGTCGTGGAAACTGAAGACGACTCGGACGTGGATGTGTCGTCTGCTTCATCCTCACACATTTCCTGACAGTGTTCAAGAAACACGAAGTTGTTTCTGTTTCCCCCGCAACCACCAAATATGAAGTCGGCACAGCGCTGTGTGGCCTCGTCGAAATAATACCGTCTGAAGTAGCCTCGGCAGTACCCCTGTTCTGGTGGCAGATCACACACTGAAATATATATATGAGAATAAATGCACTCAGGCGAACACCTAGTGTTATCAATATAACTTTTGCAACGAAACGTGTGGGTGGGTTCTTGAATATGTCCCATTTTCTTTGTATTCGGATCTCTAACTTTCTCCCCCACAAATGCCAGAATGTACCTCAAATTTGATATTATCAAATTGTTATTAATAAACTAAACTGCCCGGCTAAAAAGTATATATCTCCCACGTAGGAGATAGTAAGTCCTACGTAGGAGATAGTAAGTCCTACGTCAGAGATACCAAGTCCTTCGTAGAAGATACTAAGTCCCACGTAGGAGATAATAAGTCCTACTTTGGAGATACTTAGATAAAAAAAAATTCACCGTGGCCCTACTACGCTTCCGTACTTTTGCCTGGCAGTTTATGAAAGTACTTTCTATGTTTAATAGCTACTGTGGCCACCCGATCAAAATACGAATCGCCATTAGGTTCTAATGGTCTATTTCAACGATGTATAATACTTTTAGCATCATGATCGGAGATTGTAAGTGATATTTAGATGAACCGACCATTTAAAATTCTGAGGGTGAGGTGAGGTGAGGTGAGGTGAAGTGAAATGGGGTTTAACGTCGCGTCCAAGATTATTGCACTTACATGGCGACGTGCAATCACGTGCTGCTTGTACTAGTCCGGGCTGATGCCGATTTATAGTGCTAGCCCACTGAGATACCATAACATGGATACCCCACTCAGACACAGTATACTGACTGAGAGCCGACCAATGCTTGTTTTATACCCTTAATACCGAGCACCTGACAAGGTAACAACAAGTACCATCTGTTAACGTCTTTTGGTATGACGCAGCCGCGGATCGAACCCACGACATCCCGCTCTCCGTTCGGACGCTCCACCACTAGACCACGGAGGCGGTCTTGAGGGTGAGGATGGGTTTGTAAACATTAATAACCAGTGTCTTGGATGCAAAACGTACAGCTGATCAGCTTGAGTGGCAGTGAGATTAGTGAAGTCATTTGATCGTGACGTGGTTGCATGTCATCGCGCTCCGGGGGCGTGGGTCTCTGCATCTGTCATTGGTTGACCGATCAAGTCTCGTTTATTTACATGATGGGCATCTTGCTGACTATGGAGTCGCCAAGTTGGTTGTCATGATGTCCACATGTGATACTTACAGTCGTCCCTGGCTTGGGCGGACATGGCGAGGAAGATGGCAAGTCCAATCAGCTGGAAAAAGAAGAATATGATAATAGATGGAGTTACTACTATGCCATTTAACCCCGAATGGAATCGGCAGATAATCGAGACTGGTTGTTCTCTGGCATTGGCCTTTGTTTAATTTACGGGGCGTGCGTTCTTGACTTCTGGGTAAGAGTGGGCTGTGGAGTAGCCTAGTGGTTAAGGCGTTCGCTCGTCACGCCGAAAACCCGGGTTCGATTCCCCACATGGGTACATGGGTACATGGGTACAATTCTTGTGTCTCCGCCGTGATATCGCTGGAATATTGCCAAAAGCGGCGTAAAACCATACTCACCAACTCACTCTATGTATGTCTACTTTATCAGGGGAAATATCCACATCACGGCCTATGACCCAAAACGAAAACTCATCTGCCCAGCCGATACACATACGTTGTTACCTATTTCGTATTGTAATAATGCCAGATTAGTAAGCAGCTTCAGCGATTTGGTGTGAATAGAAGTTTGTATTCTGTGCATTTTATCTTGATGGAAGCAATCACATTAGAATAACGCAGCGTAAGTGAGTGTATGTAACTCAACTCCGCAGTGGGAGATCTTCTTCTATGGTGTTTTCCACCTTTGAGTGAGTGAGTTCGGTTTAACGCCGCTTTGAACAGTATTCCAGTTATATCACGGCATGTCAGCTTAATGTGGGGGAAAGCCTGATGTGATATGATGTGATGCAGGTCTTAGACGTCTTAGGCTCTGTGTGAGTGTGTGTGTGTGTGTGTGTGTGTGTGTGTGTGTGTGTGTGTGTGTGTGTGTGTGTGTGTGTGTGAGAAGACATCCATAATTTAATCAAACTGATTATTATACAATATATAGCAGTTATTGATTGCCCTTATTTACACAAAGGCCATGTCTCAATTTCACACATTGCATTAATTACAACATACAGACTTAGGCTCAAAATTCCGGCCAGATTATGGACTTCAGACTCCCTATTAGTCTTTTATTTGGTTAAGAAAACTTACAACTTTATTGATAACAACTTCTGGTCTATAGCATTAGAGACGTGTCCATGAATATTATCTCACCAGCTTAATACGGTTGTAAGACTTTCGTACCGTCGCTAATGTAATAAACCAGATGTTATCTCTGGAGTTGTACGTTTTCTTTTCTACTCACCAACTTCTAGGAAGCCAATCAAACAAATACGTTTATGTGATGTTTCGCGTCAAGGTCATCATGCGACTAGAATCACCGTAGAATTATGACTCTAATATTTTTAATCATGAATAATATTGTGACGAAGTCATTCTTGCAATCCCCAATTGGTTCAGTATTATACCTACTGAAACACAACGGAAACTCATAATCAGCTTTAACTCGAAGTCAGAAACAATGTGTTTTGTGCTCAAGTCCATCTCCAAACACATGGAGATTCGAACCCGTACGATAATATTGTTCTGTTTTAGCATCTCATGTTTAAATACACAGAACATTTTAACTTCATTTGGGTGGCTATTTTACCAAATATTACAAAAATCGAATATGCGTTTTGAAACTGTTTCAATATACATGAAAAAGACTCCGTCGTATATGGTTAAAGTATTTAAATTAGATTTTTCAATAAATGCAAACCTAGGTTTTATATTACGAAATGTGGTCTATCTCCATTATAATTAAAAATACAAAAGTCCTATCATAATCATATCAAACAATTACATTTTATTTCAATATATTCTAAATCAGAACATCTATCTCATTACGCCGTTTTATTTGCAAAACTCGCATTTGAAAGGAATATATAATCTATTTTTTAATGTATATAATGTATATAATGATGACATCAAAGAAACCCAAAATATGTATTTCATGATACATGATGTGCACGTACCTTCATCTTAAGATCTGCTTGTCTTCGCCAGCAAGCTCCCAGTGCGATGCGGTACAGTCACCCACTGCTTTGTATTCAGCCTTTTAAAAAGCTGTTTTTCCTCCCAAATCCGGTTTTATCGTGTTTTCATTCTACTGAACACGTCAGGCCAGAAAGTATGACGTGTTTCCAACATTTGGGATTTACACTGGAGTCGAGCAGGTGCGACTTAACTGTGGAAACAATCGACTAGACACGTCCGCCATTGTCAGCTGTTGACACAAGTCCGACTTAACAAACACAGGTAAGAAGTAAATATCTTGTTGCTCCAGGTGTATCATGTACAGCGGATGTTTTTACTGAGGTAGTTTTTGTGGAAAACGACACATTAACACCGACTTAACAATTGTTTCATGCTAATAAATCCTATTTGGTTATTATGCCTTATATTCTTTTTTTCTTTGATGTTATCACACAGCTGAATCTCTGAACTTGTTCCGAATCCTCATTCATGAGATGAAACAGTTATACTATAAACAGTTATGTTTATGTCGAAGTAATTACACAGTATTGCACAGTTCTACTCACCCTTTATGTCGAAGTAATTACACAGTATTACACAGTTCTAGACAGATATTAGACAGTAACACTTCTTGTATAATGAAGTTACGTCCCAGTTATACTAATCCTTTTAAGTCGAAGTTTATTTCTCCATTTACATTGACGTTTATTACACAATATTAGTTATACAATTCATTTTATGACGAAGTTTTCACACAGTTCTACTTATTCCTTTATGTCGAAGTAATTACAAAGTATAACAGTTACTCCATCTATATCGAAGTAATTACAAGTACTACAGGTACACCCCTTTTATGTCGAAGTTATTAAATAATATATCCGTTATACTCCTTTTATGCCGAAGCTATTACCGGTCTTAGTCTTTTTCTTATCACTCGCCGAGACCGCCTCAGTAGTCTTGAAGATAAAGCGGAGAACGGAAGGTCGGTGTTCGATCAAATGGCGTTAAACGATGCTACTTGTTGCTACCCTGCCTGGAGCTCCTCAATAGGGGAACAAAACAAGGACTGGTCGACTCACGTGACTCTGTGTTTAAGGAGGGTGTCCATGTTTAACTGCGGCGTGGTATCTCAGTGGACTAGCACTATAACACCTGCATTAGTCCGACTAGTTCAAGCAGACACACACAAATACCTGTGTCCTGAAGTGTCGGTCTCGCATCAGTATCGACACGTCAGGAATAATGTATTAGACCACAATAACACTCAAAGGATGTAACATTTCTAACACCCGTTCAAATAGCCTTTGAGGCTATCTCTAATCTACCGCCCCGATTGTTTCTAGGTTTGTCAGCACCATACCCGTGCTCGTGGGTTTCACCGAAGTGGTAAACGTCTGAGACCTGCATCACTTCGGGCTTTCCTCCCACATTAAGCTGACACGCCGTGATATAACTGGAATACTGTTAAAAGCGGCGTTGAACCCAACTCCCTCACTCTAATCTACAGCGGCCGTCGGTCTGCCAGCTACCGTTAAGGTCCAGTATTCTGCGTCACAACTACAATCAATGTTTCCCACATTTATCAAGATATAAAACACCAGTTTTACCCTGATTCACGTGCTACACAATGCTTCTTTAACTCTCCAGCAGCTAGTATAGGGCATTGCACAGTTACATTAATTCCTATATGTCGAAGTTGCTTAGTAAACATAGAGGGGTATAACAGTTTCATATTACCCCGAGAATGTCGAAGGTACCCAGCAATTATTATAGGGCATTACAAATTAAATTAACTCCCTCCAAGCCGAGGTTTTCCCACAGTCGTAGAAAACATTAGTGTATCGAACTCCTTTATGTCGAAACGGATATGAACCTTACACAGTACCATTATCGCTTTTATCTCGAATGCTCATTGTATCATGCTGTTTAAACGTCCGACGTAAGGCCGAATTGAAGTGCAAATTTAAACAAATTCAGCCAGCCTGTTTATACCGACGTGACCTATACCGTCCTCCCAAATAGGTCACGTTACCTGGCGATTAGCAGTTGTTAGCTAAAACTGCTTCAACAAGGTGGGCCATAGTCGCATTATACGTCTATACTATTTACCATCGTGTCTATTGCATATCAGTCCAGGATAGTGGTGGATTGCACACCTAAACTAATGAGAAAAATATCAAACAGTCTATCATAACTGGAAGATGTTTGTCGGGCCCCGCTACCTATGCAGTCCTCGAACAAATTAATTGCTTGTTCTTTGGAAATAACGTTCAAGGTGAGTGAGTGAATTTGATTTTACATTTTACGCCGCTTTTGGCAATATTCCAGCGGCGGGGGACACCTGGACCCACTTGCACAAAGCGATCTTATCGCTAAGACTATTGTAAGCCTATGCTAAAGTATGGGAGTTAAGATCATCTTAGCGCTAAGATCGCTTTGTGCAAGTGGGCCCAGGAGTTTGCTTTACATTGAGGACCCATGTGGGAATCGAACCCAGGCCTTCGGCGTGACGACCGAACACTTTAACCACTCGGCTACCCCATCGCCCCTTCATCAACGGGAGGTTACTAAAGACGAATATTTTCAATTTACAAGGACTGAAAGGTTGAGATATTTTGAATGTTAATATCTCATGATCTAGGTTTTTGTATATTTTCTATATACGGACAATTTAAATTAAACAACCATTCAAAAGAGTGAGAAGAAATCACTTGAATTGATCATGTTTATCATGCACACATGCGGTATACCAATTATTCTACACACAACATCTATTCAACTTGGACATAAACATGGAGGATTTGAAGTAGAGTTTTGTCAACATGTAGGTGATTATATGCCTGTCACAACCTGACACGCGCCTGACTGACAGGTTTGAAACATGCCAGGTGTGTATGCCATATATGGAAATGTTTACTTAATGCGGGCAGTACAATGACAAGAAGTTGATTATAGAATTGTGATACTTGAGAATTTATTTGAAACACACAATTCAGAATTTCACTTTCACACTGGCTGACACATGATAACACATTCCATCAGTGTCTTGAAGTTATTCGAGTTGCCCTGGCAACCGCCGTAGTAGAAGTTCTCACACTGCTTTGAGCTGGTGTTGTAGTAGTACCGCATCACGAGCCCGTCGCATGGCCCCACGTCCTTGGCCAGCTCGCACACAGCTGGAAGAGGAACAACTCATCTGTACACATGCGTTGACACGTTTTGAAAAGGGAAGTGTGCAACTAACACACAACATGATGAGTAAAAGCAAACATTTCGCAAATGATGCACACGTGCATCAACCACCGTTCTTCTGGTTACGCGTACGTCTACACTGGGACATGTCATAGTGTTTTTTGTTAATTTCTTTTTTGTTTAACGCCGCACTCAGCAATATTCCAGCTTTAGGAGGGCGGTCAGAAAATAATCCAGTCTGAATCAGATAATCCAGTGATTGACATCATGAGCATCGATCCACGCAATTGGGATACGATGACATGCATAAAACAAGTAAGCGAACCTGACCACCCGATCCCGTTAGTTGCATCTTACGACAAGCATAGTCGCTTTTTATGGCAAGCATGGGTTGATGAAGACCTATTCTACCCCGGTTCTGCGCGGGTCTATATGCCACAGTGATGTTCACGAAAAGTGTGGTATAGAACGTCAGTCTTATATATATACTCATAAGCATATATACTGAAGGATTGTTCTAGACATATCCTTAACAGAAATGGTTAATCGCTGCGTTATCGTGGTTCACGGACCAAGCCGCGATGAAGGTTAAAATGTTGGGCAGTCCATTTGGTGATGGTGTTGCCCGGGTTCGACTTCCCATATATGGGCACAGGTATCTCCCGTTAGTATCTCTAAAACGTTTAAGGAAGCTGATCTGATAAACGGAATCAGATTCATATATTGTCTTATTATATACTTCATTGTGAAAGGCATGTTTCAGAAGTTGAGAAAATAATACATTATTGAGAAATAACACTTGATATTTCACTGCAGTAAACATAACACTTGGACGGAACTATTGTCATACAAAAGTTACCTCTCTGCAAATTGTCTCCCTTTATCGTAAATCTCTAGCCCGTACACAAATTATTTACTTCCATTTTATGTTCGTTCCACATTGGCAAGGCAAAATAATGACAGATGGTCATTTATGGAGTTAATGTCACTTCTTGCCGTTTGTTATTCTCTTGAAAATGTTTCGTTATAAGCTATGAATTTCTCATTTAACTCGTCTATTGAGACTGTTCGTGTCGCAAGTGCCATATTGAACAGCGTGTATTCATTCGTTTCCGACAGCTATCTCGTAGATTTCAAGAAAACCTTTTAGTTGAAGTTGATTTTGTATATAGTTATATCCAAATGTATGATAACGAATTTCTGTGACCCTAAATATTTTTGGATTACTTTTGTTTAGATTTTTTTAAATTTTGCAAACACGGAACTACTTTTTAAGTCGTAAGTACAAGGCGTGGTGAAACGTTTCTGCGTGCTAGGTAGGGAGAATTTACATTTCAAGGTTTTACATTTGTGAAATAATTTAATTTACAATTTAAACTACACAAAAAGTATACAATAAATATCTCCTTTAGCCCCCGTCATTCGACGACAGAACATGATATTTCACTCGACAAATATCTTCTACCACTTTTAATGGCAACAATGCAAACAAAGAAAGAACGCTATTGGCCTAGTTTGAAGTCGGGATCACGTGATTCGTGTGATGCCATGGCGACGGACCTCTGTGTGTGTCAGACACAAGATAAGGCAACAGGTCTTCTGTCTCCATGATCAAGTTCCAAAACTGCTTGAAGTCCGTGTTTGTGTTAGCGAATAAATCGACAGTTAGTGTTAGACTAAGTGTATAATTGATGTACGTGTAAAAGTGGATTTATATGTATAATACTGTTACTAAAAAGGTGTATGGGTGAGCGTGATTAGGATGTTTGGATGTGGGTAGGTATAGGTATTAGTGTAACTCTAAAACATTACAACCAAACAAATTCGCGAGACCAATCCCAATATGTATGACTATAATAGCATAATGACATACTATAATAGACGGATCTAGAGGGGGTTCCTTTTGAAAACCAAATGTAGGATGTTGTAGGCACCCTCCCCTGCTTCAACTAGTAGATCCTTGCACGTTTAAGGGAGGCAACTCTACACAGCGAATTGTGTCTGGGCTCTGGTTCACCCTTGTGCACATATATGTGATGAAATAATGAAAGAAAGAGAGTAGTACGAACTAGAACATCATTTATCATTTCATTATTTCCATTTATGCTTATATTGCAGGAAGACATGAAGACATTGTTCCTGTATTTTACCTGGTGAATATAACAACGTGGATGTCTATGCTTAACTGATCGGACTGTTCTGTGACTTGGCTTAACTCTCCATGAATAACTCTCCAAGTTTAATGTCAGTGTACTTTCGTTTCAAAATTTGATGTTTGGTTGGTTGGTTCGTTGTTTAACGCCGCACTCAGCAATATTCCAGCTATATGACGGCGGTCTGTAAATAATCGAGTCTGGACCAGACAATCCAGTGATTAATATCATGAGCATCGATCCACGCAATTGGGATCGATGACATTCATCAACCAAGTAAGCGAGCCTGACCACCCGATCCCGCCTTTTACGACAAGCATAGTCACCTTTTACGGCAAGCATGGGTTGCTGAAGACCTATTCTACCCCGGATCTTCACGGGCCTTCAGGGGCGGTCGGGTAGCCTAGTGGTTAAAGCGTTCGCTCGTCACGCCGAAGACCCGGGTTCGATTCCCGACATGGGTACAATGTGTGAAGCCCATTTCGGTGTCCCCCGCCGTGATATTGCTGGAATATTGCTAAAAGCAGCGTAAAACCATACTCCGTCAGTCAGTCATTCAGTCACGGGCCTTCAAAATTTGATATAATAAGCTGCTGATTTGCGCCATTTAACGTCCCTTTTGCAGCTGGTGCGATAAACCCCGACTCCTTGTCCCACAGCTCTCTTCACTTAAACGTCTAATACCACACGGTTACAGAATATTTTATAGTGTATGTACATTACCAGCACCACGTGTGTAAAATTGCATCCCTTTGCATTGCCCGGAACCTAATATAGTTGGTTCGTAAATATGATTTATGATTTGCCGTCACCATACGCGTGCAATCGTGACCAACTCGTGTTATTCCGGGACAAGCCGAATTGTTTGGCAGGTTACGGAAAGGGGCGAGTGGTGACGAATGCATACGCGTGCTCATGAGTTCCACAATAGTGCGTGGAAACGTCTCCGTCTTGCGTCATTTTTTTACGTTCCTGACACATTAACCCGAAACGCCATGATCTAATTGCTCTACTGATCTAAACGACGTTAAACACATCTCACTCCTTCATTCGTCACCACTCACCCCTTTCCGTAACCTGCAAGAAGACTCGTCCCTCTATCGATGAATGTTATGTGCGAAAATACGACAAACCAATCAGAATACGCGTATGATTTCAAGTTCTTCGTCAAAGAATCCCTCAGAAATAATTTTTGATTTTACATATGTCTTGCATCTAAAATATACCAAAGACACAGTTAAATGTGTTCAATCATACTGTATAATTCCGCACGTCCTGATGTGCTTTAAATTGCATCTGAAATATATATAATATATGGGGAAAATTTGTGAACCATTACGCAACGAGTTGACAATTGTTTTAGGTATGCCCGTTTGCGCTAAGACAGAACCCGGTCGCAAAAATGGCCACGAGAGGGGCACGAGTCGCTATTCGGCTTGTCCCGGAATAACACGAGTTGGTCACGAATGCTCACTCCTTCACACCCTTGTAAGAATATAGTTCACCAGCAAACTATGGTTGTGGTAAGTTGTGGCTAAAGGGTTCAGGCTCAGTGACGACTGATTGTATGACATCAGATCCCAACTGCGTGGATCGATGATCATGATGCCAATCACCGAATTGTCTTGTCCAGACTCGATCATATACAGACCGCCGTCATATGGCTGAAATATTGCTGAGAGGGGCGTTAAACAACAAACAAATCGTTCACTGACCCAGCACCACCTACCGGCTGACTGGCTTTGTTGCAGGGTTGAGACCAGAAGACCGAGAACAAGTACACACACAAACATGGCGGCAGGCGGCAGGCGATATATACTTATGGCGAATACAACAGGCAATCTTATCTAAGTTACCTAGGTCAAACACTCTGTCTGTTTCCACAGTATAATTAGCCATGCTCTGTTCTGAGATAAAAGGGCAATTGTACCACGTCTCCTGGGAACTATGAGTGCTTCCGGTTCATAGAATACCTGGTATGTTATGTGCGGGATTCGTGACGCTTCAAGTATGAATAAATAAATTGCTGGTGATTCCATGGCATTTACTTGGCTAACCAAGCAGTTAATTTTGCAGTTAATATCGCACTCAGCAATATTCCAGCTATATGACGGCGGTATGTAAATAATCAGACAATCCAGTGATTAATATCTTGAGCATCGATCCACGCAATTGGAATTGATTCCATGAATCAACCAAGTCAGTGTGTCGGACCAGCCGATGCCTTTTACGACAAGCATAATCGCCTTTTACGGCAAGCATGGGTTGCTGGCGACCTATTCTACCCCGGATCTTCACGGGTCCAATCCCACGCGACAAACTTAAGGGAAAACTTCATTCCCTGGTCCATGGGGCATTTGTTGCAAAACATAGTGACCATAGATACAGTTACATATTTATCTTCGGATGTTCAGGACAATTTGTCAAAAATGAAAGCAGTTGCCATCAGAAATTCGCTGAGAAGGCAATATGTAAAATGCTAGACCTCCTCATAGATACCATCTATGTAAGACATTTAAGCAAGAAGTAAGCATCCCCATGGGCACCAATTGTGCCCCCCTTCCTGCTCATCTGTTTCTATATGAATCGGACTTTCTGCTGGGATGGGCACAGTCATCCCATAACACGTTTAACTCAAGCTTCAAGTACATCAATTTAGATCTTTGCATGAAGAATCAGAGTGATCAAACACTCTCTACCAGACTGTATGAAAGAGGGATGACTTCAACTTTCCAGTAGTCAACTTTCCCTTTGTGTTGAGCAATAGTCCAACACCTCAAACCGTTGGTGTCTACATTTCACAACTTTTTCAAAACTGAAAATCATAGATAGTAAAATTCAACGTCAACATTTATTATTCCAAAATATGTCATGAGAATTCCTATTTTACACCGCTTGACACAAAGCAACGCAATCGGCTAGAGTTTGAAAGTTGTTTGCGTTAGCCCGGCAACCGCCATAGTAGAAGTTCTCACACAGCCCCGTGCTGGTGTTGTAGAAGTAGCGCAGGATGAGGGCTTCACATGGACCGACCACCTTAGGTAGATGGCAGGAAGCTGTAACAAGAATGGTGGATGTATCTGTAATTTGGCAACCTCGTCTCAGAAATATTTTTTGTTGGAATACGTTGTTATTTCATGGCTTTCACTCATTTGACTTGTCAAAGAAGTTAAAAAGAGTGAAGACTTCGTTTAGCCAGAAACTGGGGTAAGTTTAGTTGTTGGGCTTTTATCGTCTTTGAACTATTTCATGTGATGAGAGGCGCTGGTGTATGCAGCCTTGTGGTCATATAGTTCATGTAAAAATGTACAGAAACATGGGTCTGAATGCTTGAGTGTGACAAAGTAGACACGATTTATGGATAACAACTTCTTTAATTACTGTAAAGGAGACGTTTCGGTATAGATCCTTACACCGTTGTCAAGCAATATTTTGTCGTTTGTCATCTTCTAAGTAATGACTATCAAACAATGCATGCATGTGAGTGAATCGCTGCAAAACAACTTTGTCAATACGCATGCGCATTCGTAAGAATTATCAATTAGGACCTAATGTTTAGAGATTTTACTGGCGCGATTTAGAGCACTAAACAACTTAGAGTATGATATATTTAAGAGTATAACTCAATTCAGACTACTATTTGAAGCACCATGAGCAATGTGCAGTTTAAAGCACCACACAACGGAGAGCATGGAGCAGTTAAAAACGTCATACAACTTGAAGCGTGGTATACTTTAAAGCTCCCCACGACTTGGAGCATGATGCCGTATAAAGCAACGTACAGCGTTAGAGCATGGTTTGATTTAAAGCTCCTAAAAGCACGCACACACACACACACACACACACACACACACACACACACACACACACACACACACACACACACACACACACACACACACACCAGAAGAAGCGCCACATACCACTGCTGCCTGCTGAGAGAGCTCCGCCCACACACACACACACACACACACACACACACACCAGAAGAAGCGCCACATACCACGGCTGCCTGCTGAGAGAGCTCCGCGCGCACGCACACACACACACGCACACACACACACACCAGAAGAAGCGCCACATACCACTGCTGCCTGCTGAGAGAGCTCCGCCCACACACACGCACACACACACACACACACACACACGCCAGAAGACGCGACACATACCACTGCTGCCTGCTGAGAGAGCTCCGCCCACCCCCCACCCACCCCCCCCCCCCACCCCCCCACCCCCCCACCCCCACCCCCTCCACACACACACACACACACACCAGGAGACACGACACATACCCCTGCTGCCTGCTGAGAGAGCTCCGCCCACACACACGAGAAGAAGCACTGCGTGAAGCATTACGGGGTGATCCTGAAAAGTGAGATTGAAAGTGTCTTAGTACTGTGGTGTTGAACAGGAGAAATGACACTGGGTATGTTATGAAAGATCGGTCTTTTTGTGACAAGATATATACTGAACAACAAAAGTTCCTGTGACATTGAATAAGATTTAATGCAAAGTTATGTTTTTTACCAAATCTGAAACAATTTCGGTTTGCTACAGATAAAAGACTCTTGTAAGTGTTCAAATGGTTTAATTTGCCATGCTAACTTCAGAAAACGCGTGATTTCATATAAAAAAACAAACATGAACATGCAAAAATGTCAATTTACAAATCAATAGCGTGTGTGTCCACCTCTGGTATCGATGCAAGCAACACATCTTCGTCTCATTGAAAGGACCAAAGTCCTGTGGGATATCTGTCCATATCTGCTGGAGCATGTTTCGAAGATCCTGGAGTGTCTGTGGAACACGTGGTTGACGTCGAAGGCGCCAATCCATCTCATCCCACATTGCTCGATTGGTGAGAGATCAGGGGAGCGAGCCGGCAAGGGGATGACATTCACGTTGTTTTGTTGAAGAGAATCCTGAACAAGTCGAGCAATATGAGGCCAGGCGTTGTCATGTTGAAACGTAATGCCTGGGCCATGACGACGCAAAAACGGTAGAACAACAGGGCCGATGATCTCGTCGCGGTAGCGCTGTCCATTGAGATTGACCCCTACCACTATCAAACGGGTCTTCTGTCTTGCTGTAATCCCACCACATACCATAACGCTGCCGCCCCCGAACCGATCTTCTTCCATGACACAATAATTGACGTAACGTTCACCTCGACGTCGGTACACTCGAATCCGTCCATCGCTGTGGCTGGGGTGAAAACGAGACTCGTCGGTGAACAGAACCTGTCCCCACTGCATGGCCGTCCAGCGTAGACGCTGTCTGCATCACTGAAGACGGTGGTTTCCTGTCAAAATGGGACGTCTGGCGGGTCTTCTGGCGACAATCCCTGCACATCTGAGGCGACGACGTACGGTTTGTGAAGATATTCGTCGAAGGCCAGAAATGCTACTTGCAGTCACTGTTGCTGGCTGGAATCGATTTCGTAGGTGTGTTGTTCGAATCCAGTTGTCTTGGCGATTATTGGTTACGCGTGGCCTGCCACCCCGAGGATGGTCTCTGACTGCATTCGTCTCTTGCCAACGTTGCCATAAACACCAAATGGTGTTTCTGTGGACGTTAAATTGTCTTGCAACACCACGTTGACTCGATCCTACTTCAAGTATATCAATGGCTCGCAGACGCTCATTTTCGGACAGGCGTGGCATTTCGTAAAGTTGAATAATTGCTTAATTTTGTTGTTTTTCTGAGTGGTTGTTGTCAGCACGATGCTAAACACTGCATATGGAATCTCGTTAACGCACATGCTTTTATACCCATTCTTGGGTAGTGAAATGCATTGGGCTTGCATAAAAGTCAACTTTTGCATGGAATGCACGCTTTTCTGTAGCAGCTGCGTTTTAGTGACTTGATTCCATACATGTACTACAATATTTAACCAAACTTTACTTGTTTGAAAACTACACTAAAATATTGGTGTGACGGAAACTTTTGTTGTTGAGTATATGATATATACACATGTGCGAATGTCATCCGTGAGAGGGGTGGATACTCCAGACACTGATTACAGAGTCAGTGGTGATTCCTTGGCTGACAAAAATCTGGTTTCCCTGCATAATGTGACACACAATACTCGTGGTGTGGGATGCTGATACCTTTCAGCGTTGTTGAACTGAGTATTGTTGGACTTCTCCATAAAGCCAATACACCTGTACCGACGGCTAGTGCCAGCTACATTATTGGTGTGATGGTAGTGCCAGACCTTCTGTTTGTCAGTTTACTACTCTTTTGTCCTGTTTCCAACAAAGAATGACACCAGTCCTTTTATATGCAGCACAAATCCGAATCAAAATGATAGTGCTTAATCAATGCCCATGTGTATGTAATTTTCCTTACGTGCAATTGGCTTGGTATTGATAATCAAACGATATTCGCATATGCTCACATATAGTAGACACGTAACTGAATCGTTTTAAATATCATGACCACCATATTTCGAGAATTATTTACATTATTCTGGCATGTTGCGTGTTAAGTGCTTCCACTTGCCTTCAGAATAGCTGTATCCGCGCCCGTGTTTGCCATACCTCTAACAGATCTTTAAACTTATCTTTAAGTTTGAAGTGACCCATTTATATGTCTATACTGCCTAAATCCAGCTTCCCGCGGGGAATGTAGGTGAGAATAGGTCCCCAGCGCCCTTGCGTTCAGGGTCGGTGACTTGGTTGATTGCGTTTCATCGTACCCCCGACGTCGTGTGACGTTCTTCATAGTATCAATCACAGGATTCCGGTCGGAATTCAATTATTTACAGGCTGGCCATACATAAAACTGGAATACTGCTGACTGGCAGTAAATACCAAACAATCTAGCTAACTAAAGCATTGTGTTACAGTTATGAACGTATCGTCAAATGACACAATGAAATTAACGAAAACAAATTAAATCCTCATTTGCACCTGATGTTAAACTTACCTGCCTGTATAGTAACAGTTGAAGTAATTAAGCCTAGATAACGAGTAGGTGGGTGGCAGGTCTGAGAACACAACTCCTGGTAGCTGATAGCAGAGTAAAGTCAAGTATTTGCTTCTATTAGTTGGTTCTTCCAATCTCATCTGAGGAAATTAATAGGCTCAAGTTTAATACACAAAGTTATATTCCATGTATCTCTGTGTTAACACGTGTTTCGAAATTAGTATTACTGCACTTTCGACTAATGATAATGTCATTTAGACTAAACTTCGGGGCAAAGAAGTATACTCTTGAAAATTGGATTTGACCTAACAAATGTAATGAAAACGTTACTAGGCTGAAACTGTCGCCGAAACACTGCAAACGTAAGGTTAGAAACACAACTATGATACCCGTTAAAATACATCAATATCGAATAACTATTTCTTGTTGGTTTCATCTGTAGCCGCCACATCTCACATTATACTTTTTTGCCCGACAGTTTATCTGAAAAAAGCATACATCGAGGCCAGTGTACACTGCAAGCATTGACAGGCAGGCCAACATATTCTTGTTGCTTGGATCAAAGATTCGTCTGGTAAAATTCTTTTAAATAGTTAAACAGAAATCTTGGAAATGTTGATATTTCCGAAGGCTTTATAAATCGTTCTGTTTAACCTCGGGAATCAGGCGATCAGCCATCCGTAACAATGAATAGACAAGTTCATGCTATGCCCCTGCCCTCACGCAACCGTCGACAGGCACTCCCGTAGATTGATTGATAAATAAATAAATAAATAAATAAATAAATAAATAAATAAATAAATAAATAAATAAATAAATAAATAAATAAATAAATAAATAAATAAATAAATAAATAAATAAATAAATAAATAAATAAATAAATAAATAAATAAATAAATAAATAAATAAATAAATAAATAAATAAATAAATAAATACAAACTAGTGAAAATCCTCTAAAAATATTTATAACATTCTGAGAACAATTTCAGACATCAATTATATTAATAACAATAGCTGGAGACTGCAAGTCTAGCACTCCCGTTAGATGTCAACTGTCTGATGTTGAAGTGCACGGAGAGCCACAGCCCAGGTGCCGTCATTGTTGTGGACAACTGAACTATTGGTCCTGCTCACTTGTAACCTTAATTACTCGGAGACGAGATGGTAGTGTGACTTTCTCTGACCTTATAAGTGCAACGTGTGAAACTATGGCACTGTCTCTGTATATAGGATAAGCTTGAACCAAGTTTATTAACTCTAAGATCGTTCCACACCATAAGAATTTAGTTGAATTAACAAAGAGTGTTTTGATTGAAACTTGCTATGACTGTCATTTAGCGGGGGCCTGGTGCCCCTTTGCTGTCAAAGTGTAGTATTAGAAGGTATTTTGTACCTTAATATAAAACACAAAAGACACATATCCATAAACTTGTTTATTTGAACAATATTTACTATGTAACAATGATGATATTCCATTGAATGAGACATGTTACACTGTTTTAACTTGACTGCAAGTTGCTACACAATCTTGCAATATTTTAAAGTTGTTGGCATTTCCGGCACAACCTCCATAATAAAACTTGGAGCACTTGCCGGAACTGACGTCATAGAAGTACCGGGGAAACGACCCATCGCAGGGACCATAATCCATTGGCAAATGGCAAACTAGAAAATTAGAAACCTGTTTTTTTAAAAATTAAAAAAGAGCCACGAAGCTCGGTAGCTTACTTGCATTTTTTCTGGAACATGAGGTGAAATTCTTACGTCGCGTTCAAGATCATTACACTTATATAGCTACGAGCACGCATGTGTGTACATGCGTGCGTAGCTGCTTTTGCTAGTCCGGACGAATGCCAGTTTTGTGGCCCTAGCCCACAGAGATACCATGCAGCAGTTTAACATGGATACCCCATTCAGACACAGTATACTGACTCCGAGCCGACCAGTCCTTGGTTTAGCCCCTTAATGTCAAGCGCCAGACAGGGTAACAACAAGTACCATCTTTTAACGTCTATTGGTATGACAGGCAGACGCTCTATCCACTAGACAACAGAGGCGGTCTTCTGCAAGCAAATGTCATAATAAATGGGTAACAAGAATATCCAAAAATGAATAACAGCATTTATATTTTAGGATAGGTGATAGCAGGGTAAAACTTTAACTACTTAAAAATTATACTTTTACACATGAAACACAATTGCATAACCACATTATTCTCCGCACAAGCGTTTTATGTTCCATGACATATTTGCTGATAAAGAGTTAATACCATCAATCTGGCAGGAGCTGAAGCTGCATCCGAGCACGAGCAGATACAGACACAACAGAGTCTTCATGCTTCCGCCTGTCAACTGAAGACGTAGGAAACAGTTTCAGATTCTTCAGCAGACACATGTTTATTGTTGTTTAACGACACAGTCATAGACTGACTTTTTTTCCTGAAAGCTGACAAATAACATAAGTATGAATTAATTCTGTTGCAATTTTCTTGAGGTTGGCCATTTTTTCGACCAAAATGACCAGACTATCAGCAATATTCCAGCTGTATATATCACGGCAACTGGTATATGATCGAGTGCTGGACTGACAAACTAGTGGGTGATATTCTGGACAACGTCACGCGCCATCGGGGCACGTAGTCAATTTAGTCACCGAGTGTGACCACCCGACCTATTTCAGTCAACTTTTACTAGCATAGGTTACTGGGAATGAGCCTCGATTTGATGTTTAGGCTTGGTTGTAGTTACCGTATACCATTAAATGGAATGAAACGTCAACAGTTTATTGTTCACTGACAGTGATGGATATGATTCGAGTGCCGTTTGTAATGAAACCCGAACAAGACCTGGCTACATTTTGAACAGAACAAGTGTCGCTTTCAAAGTTTTCGAGCCTTAATGCAGTCAACTACCATTTCCGGTTCAATACAATATTCAAATGAATATTAACAGCTTTATGTAAAATTTAGAAGTGGTGTGGTTTTTTTTTATTAGAATTAGGCAATTTTGCTTGCACTTATACTGATAATGCTACCTTTTCAAATAGGTACACGGGCCTTATGAATATTCATGTCCCCTTTACCCGAGGGCAGAGGCTACAACTGACAAATAAGATAAAACGAAGTCAGAAGGTCGTTTATTCATCTGCTGTTGATCTCTGCTGCCCCTACCCGACTACGGAACCAATATATCTGATTTTCAGAGGCCAAGTGGCCCCTTTGGTGTTATATTTACAACTCTTGGTGAATATTTTGGACATAAACGCGAAAGTCGCCATGCACCAAACGTTTGTTTGCAGTCTCAAGAAAAGGAAGTTTCTTTAGTTCTACACGTGATAAGATAGTCAAATAAATACGACTATATACATCTGCATAATGTAATCTTGACAAAAATGCTTGACAAAAAAAAAAAAAAGTCAACTGACGTGGAAAAAAATATGTTTTGTGGCCTTTTTAGTAAACAATGCTGCGATTATAATAAACTTATTGAAGTATTCACGTGTCCCGATTTAGACTTATTTCACTTAGAAATCAATATTTAAAAGAAGGACGTGCTCAACAGCCAGTTGTTACCTGTTTATACTGACGGCGAGAAATGGCGACCCAGATAACTGGTTCTAGATTACTCCGAAAGTGTCAGGCCACAGTTAGAAATTTATCGTGTCTAGTTATACCAAAATAGAACCCATCTCACTCACACCAATACAAGCTTCTGCCTCATCCAAGAGTCCCATCCTCCATACAGTTGGATCAAAAGTTGCATGCACATGCACCGTGAGACCCGTGAAGATCCGGGGTAGAATAGGTCTTCAGTAACCCATGCTTGCCGTAAAAGGAGGCTATGCTTGTCGTAAGAGGCGACTAACGGGATCGGGTGGTCAGGCTCGCTGACTTGGTTGATGCATGTCATCGTATCCCATTTGCATGGATCGATGCTCGTGATGTCAATCATTGGTTGTCTGGTCCAGACTCGATTATTTACAGACCGCCGTCATACAACTGGAATATTGCTGAGTGCGGCGTTAAACAATAAACCAACCAACATGCACCGTGTTTGCACCTGCGGTATTCTGTCCCCTGGGGTACATTTCCCAGAGGCAAAGGGCACACGTGATGTTGCGTTTACACGATTCATGAAGTTGGTGGTGTATTTAATCCAGGCCTATTCTATTTCACAATGGGCACAGATGAATGTCGTTTCAGAATATAACCAAGACACACGTTGCTGGAAACTGTTATTCCAGTGCGATGTCACTACTTTGAGAGCGCAGCTGATAGGGAAGAAGAGACCAGACTAGATGACGTTGGGTTGTGAGCGTCTAACACATGTGGGATGACGGAGATAACTTCAAAGGAGAGAACTCGAGATTTTCAGGAGTGAGTGAGTGAGTTTGATTTTACGCCGCTTTTAGCAATTTTCCAGCAATATCACGGCGGGGGACACCAGAAATGGGCTTCACACATTGTACCCATGTCGGGAATCGAACCCGGGTCTTCGGCGTGACGAGCGAAGGCTTTAACCACTAGGCTACCCGACCTCACCGGGAGTGTGAGGAACTTGACCCACAGCCACATAAAGAATCGCGGGGTTTAGGCAGCATTGAACAGAGTCGTAGTATACTGCTTGTATATAACTGGCATCGTACTGTTAAAAAGGGTGTGAGTTGGGTTTAACACTGCTTTGAACAGTATTCCAGTTATATCACAGCGTGTCAGCTTAATGTAGGAGGAAAGGGAAAAGTGATGCAGGTCGCAGACGTTTAACACTTCGGTGAAACCCACGAGCACGAGTAAGGTGCTGACAAACCTAGAAACATAATCGGGACGAACCGGGATTCGAACAATTATAGGTTTCCGGCGTGCCAAGGGACGCAACTCTTTGACGATTGGGTGCCCCCGTACCGTTAAAGATCTTAAAGAAATAAATTCAAACAAATGGAAGTTTCCAAACTCTGCTTCGGTGATACATGCGACACACATTACAATGCTTGCTTAACATTCAGAATACTCATGCATACTTTGATATGCCTACATTACTGAGTGAGTTAAAGATGAGTTCGATTGATTTTTTTGTAAATTGTTTAACGCCGCACTCAGTAATATTCCAGTTACATGACGGCAGCCTGTAAATCCAGTGATTGACATAGTAGGCATCGATCTACGCAGTTGGGATACAATGACATGCATCAACCAAGTCAGCCAATCTGACCACGTTAGTCGCCTCTTACGACGCGTAGTCGCCTATTACGGCAAGCATGGGTTTCTGAAGACCTATTTTACCCGGGTATGATGGGTTTAACGGTACTTTTAGCAGTATTTCAGTTCGATCATGGAATGTCAGCTTGAGGTTGGCAGAAAAAAGTGCTGCAGGTTACCAATTGAAATCAACAAGTTCAGAGTGAACACTCCTAAGATGACACGTTAGTTACACGCCCAGTGGTACGCTACTGGTGACTGACAGCAGGTTTGGTTGTTTCAAGGGAAGGAGAAGATATAGGGACAAAATAGCTGTGGACATCTAACAAGATGAAAACGAGTTGAGCATGTTGAAGGAAGCTGATGTTCTTGTTGATCAAGCATGTGAATTACAAGGTGAGGTGAGGTGAAATGGGGTTTAACGTCGCGTCCAAGGTTATTGTACTGATACAGATTATTGCACTTATACAGCGACGTGGTGCACGTGTGCGTGTGTGGCTACTTGTACTAGTCCGGACTAATGCCGATTTTATGGTACTAGCCCATGAGATACCATGCTGCAGTTTAACATGAATACCCCACTCAGACACAGTATACTGACTCCGGGCCGAAAAGTTCTTGTTTCATCCCCTTAATGCCGGGAGCCAGGCAGGTTAACGACAAGCATAGGTTTTTTACGTCTTTTGGCGAGCCGGTCACTCCTAATTTTTTTGCTCCTTAATGCCGAGCACCCGACAGGGTAACAACAAATACCAACTTTTAACGTCTTTTGGTATGACGCGGCCGGGGATCGAACACAGACCTTCGGCTCTCCGGGTGGACGCTCTACCACTAGGCCACGGTGGCGGTAAGTGAATTACAAGGCTAACGACAGCGGATCGGCACACGATTCAGTATCTCAGGGTGAGAAGCTACTGATGAAAATTTAACCCAGGCCATATAATGGAGACAGTCCATTGACTATTGAAGGGGATGTTTTACCCTAGGGGTAACAGAATTGCTTCACCTCGTGGTATGGGGCAAACTGCAAACCAGGTGGTAGGTTTATACCGAGGAGTAAATTCCTTTACGTGACGAAATTTACCCTCGTGAGTATATTAGCCCCATGGGGTAAGGTTACCCTTGAGGGTAAATATACACCTAGAAATTAATTAAACACCCCCTAGTTTTGCGACCATACCTGTTCATTTACGTCAAGCCCGAGCTGTGGTGGGGAAATAAATGTCTTGTGTAAGATGAGACTTTTGACTAATGAAAACACAGGGAATGATGCAAATGTTCAATATTTTAATTGCCTTAATAACACGGTTGCGATAGTACTGTAATTGAGCAAAATTGATATCAACGAAACCTATGGATCTGGGAAGTTCCATGATCAGTTATAAACGACCATTACTGTCAAAAAAGGTTCATTGTTATCTTACACAGATAATCACAATCCTGAAAATCCGTAGCTAGGTTAACCGCCTCGTGCCTGGATGACAGATTCTACCCTCTCCTCCTCTCATACGATCAAGAGGTAACTGCTGTCACTCCCGATGCAATTCAGCCTCTAAAGCTGCCACATTCGGTACTCGTGGATCCACTGCCTGCAGCTGACGCCCAAGAATGCCCCAATGGATTCAAATCTGGACTCCTAGCGGGCCAGGGCAAAGCGTCAATGGCTCGTGCTTGAAGAAAAGCAGTCACAGAACAAGAACGATGGTGGCTTGCGCTGTGGTCCATAACACAGGTCGAGTGGCAAGTGCATGGACGTCAAAATGTGGCACAACAACAGGATTAAGGATGTCCTGGATGTAACGATCGCTGTTGAGATTGCCTCGCACTGTTACCATGTCCAGTTTACAGTCATGAGATATTGCTCCCCACACCATGGCGAAGCCTCCACCGTTGTTTTTACGGTGGTCCTAGGGGTATACGCAATATTTCTGTGTCTTTATTCCCACATTCGCCAATCTGTGACGTGCAGAAAGAATCTGTTTTCATCAATGGATCCATCGCCACGTCATCAGAATCCAATGACGTCGCGCCATTCACCAAGCCAATCGAAGTCTCTGATTAAGAGCAGTTAACAAAGGACGTCCGATGTCTCTTCGTGACTTCAACCTACATGATTTTAGCCGGTTTTGGACAGGTGTTGGGAAGTCTTTGTTCTTTCAGAGCTTCACTGGTAGCAAAGGGTCCCAATAGATGCTGGAACCCTGTATTCCCGTACAGTTGTCTTTCAAGATGACCCTGGTCGTGGAGGGTCCATTACTTCAAGTGTCTGTCGGTGTTTTCTTTCGAGTTTGCTGATGACAGTATGGTCATAGCCAACTTGACGTCCAATGGCTCTGTATGATTTGGTTGGTTGGTTGGTTTGTTGTTTAACGCCGCACTCAGCAATATTCCAGCTATATGACGGCGGTCTGTAAATAATCTAGTCTGAACCAGACAATCCAGTGATTAATATCATGAGCATCGATCCACGCAATTGGGATCGATGACATGCATCAACCAAGTCAGCGAGCCTGACCACCTGATCCCGTTAGTCGCCTTTTACGACAAGCATAGTCACCTTTTACGGCAAGCATGGATTGCTGAAGACCTATTCTACCCCGGAATCTTCACGGGTCGGCTCTGTATGACATACCTGTGTCATGCATGCCAATAATTTGTCAACGCAGTGCCTCTGACGGCCTCATGCGTGCCATTGTAACATGTGTTGACTAAACAGTCGGCTAATTGTCACTTCATATACCCTTTATACTTGCATCAGTATTAAAGTGTTTGTCCTGAAAGTGGAGGGTGTCATATGTCTGCGTGTTTGGACGGCCAAGTCAGTTATTGTCGAGATTGACAGCCATTCTGTGGAACAGGAGGTTTAAGCAGGCAACATGTTACTTCAGCGCTCTTATGAGCACAAAGTTGGTGCTTCGGATTAATTAAATGCTCCGGATTCCAACCCGGATCAACAACACGAACTCCCGACAGTTTAACATCCCCATCTATCGTAGTCCTATTGGTAATTTGAATTTGCATTGCTTTGTCATACAAAAGAATGTAAGCAACATCCATTGGAAGCGCTCGTAAAATCTCAAAAGCGCACCAGATAATCATTGTACATGTCAAAAATAGTATTACGGTGCTTTCTCTCCCTGACATGTAAACATTGACTCGTGTGATCAAACTGTCAAACTCCTCCAAAGGAGTGAGTGAGTGAGTGGTTTTACATCGCTTTTAGCAATATTCCATCAATATCACAGCAGGGGACACCAGAAATGGGCTTCACACATTGTACCCATATGGGCATCAAACTCAGGTCTTCGGCGTGACGAGCGAACGCTTTAACCACTAGGCTACCCGACCACCCCTCCTCCTCCAAAGGAACAATATATCATGTTTGCATGTAACAATGTATGTTAAGTGATAACATCAGCCGGTAAACAGTCACGGCTAGGCAAATCAGCGACAGATAGCATGGGTAACGATCCATGCCTTGAGCATGGCGATGCATATATATATCAAGTCATCAGCGTGAATAGCTGTACACGTTTGTAACACTGATCTGTACTGGTGTGTGACTTGACAGGTTTGAACTGGTCCTACCTAGGCATCCCACACACAAGTTTTGTCCACAGTCCTGCAGCATGTGCCTTGTACAACACGCCTGGCCCCTTTACAAGAGAGGAACATCCGCCCTATTGTCTATAATAATCTCATCAGATCTGTGAGCATCAAGTAAGCGACAGTAAACAGGTATTGGGTTAAATTGCAATATTCAGGCTAGAACTCCACGGAATGTATGTTGTTGTGTACTCACATTTGGAGTTCATCCCAAGTCCTTGGCATCAGCTATAACTCCATGGAATGTACATTGTCCTCCTATTAGGAGTTCATCCCAAGTCCTTGGCATCAGCTATAACTCCATGGAATGTACATTGTCCTCCTATTAGGAGTTCATCCCAAGTCCTTGGCATCAGCTATAACTCCATGGAATGTACATTGTCCTCCTATTAGGAGTTCATCCCAAGTCCTTGGCATCAGCTATAACTCCATGGAATGTACATTGTCCTCCTATTAGGAGTTCATCCCAAGTCCTTGGCATCAGCTATAACTCCATGGAATGTACATTGTACTCTTATTAGGAGTTGATCCCAAGTCCTTAGCGTGATGAGCAAACACTTCAACCACTAGACCATCCAATATCGCCCTGAGAGCATCAATGTATAGATGGCTTCAGATCTATTCATGATCAGTTGTGGAATCAGATCAACTCGGGCATAGCAGGAAAACATTGTGCTTCAGCCAGGATTTAACCAAGAAGGTGAGGTGAGGTGAAATTGGGTTTAACGTCGCATCCAAGATTATTGGACTTATATAGCGACTCGCATGCACGTGTGTGTGTGTTTGTTGCTGCTTGTACTAGTCCGGACTGATGCCGATTTATAGTGCTAGCCCACTGAGATACCATGCCGCAGTTTAACATGAATACCCCACTCAGACACAGTATACTGACTCCGAGCCCACCAGTCCTTGTTTTAGCTCCTTAATGCCGAGCGCCAGACAGGGTAACAACAAGTACCATCTTTTAACGTCTTTTGGTATGACGTGGCCGGGGATCGAACCCCGGACCTTCGTTCTCCGGGCGGACACTCTACCACTAGACCACTGAGGCAGCTAACTAAGAAGTGCTAACTGAGACATTACTTTTTCGGAAAGTGTGCTAACGGAATGACACACAATGATGCAAGTGGCTCATATTTCACGGTTGCCACCCCCTCCCCTGCTAACCAATATGCACATCTGAGAGAAGCAATTGATGCTTCATTTTTTCCATTATGGTACACATTCCTTGGAATAATAGCCATAGCCGATGACATTTTTGTTCTTAGAAACCAAGTAGTGACTCATGAAACGTATGAAGCCACATTCATTTTAAAAGACCGGATCTAAAAAATATAGTCAAGATTGTCTGACATTAGTGTTGTATAAAATACTGTTTTTAGTCTAACATTACTGAGGGATCTGTGCCAATGTATATGCACTTGTGTTTATTTTGAGTGCCAATGTCCAATGTGTGTGAATGACACAAAGGCTGAGGTGAAATGGGGTTTAACGTCGCTTCCAAGATTATTGCACTTATATAGCGTACGTGTGTTTGTGTGGCTGCTTGTACTAGTCCAGACTGATGCCGATTTATAGTGCTAGCTCACTGGGATACCATGCCGCAGATTAACATGAATACCCCATTCAGACAGAGTATACAGACACCGAGCCGAACCAGTCCTTGTTTTAGCCCCTTAATGCTGAGCGCCAGACAGGGTAACAACAAGTACCATCTTTTAACGTCTTTTGGTATGACGCGGTCGGGGATCGAACCCCGGACCTTCCGCTTTCCGGGCGGACGACCTACCACTAGACCATGGAGGCCGTCCACAAAGGCCTAACCAGGCTACAGCACTGAACAATTGGTAGTCGCTATCAATCATTACCCTGGAGTTAAACATGCAATATCTTGTACATGTTGTAAACTGGACAAAACCCCATCTTACTTCAACAGGGTTTTATTTACAAATCTCACTCATGATGACTGTATGAAAGACAACAAATAACAAAATAAGAACAATCATTGACAATGTGTGCATTACCCGTCACACTGGTGCACAACACCAAAATGCCCATACCATTCCATCGTTTTCCCCAAAATAATCAAATCAAACCAAGACATATGTCCGTACTTCATGATTTAAAAAAACATCTGGAGCATTTTACCTCCCATCAATATCAATTTCACAATGTTATGATGCCGCACAATGAGGACGACGTTCAACAAGCTCGCTTGATACTGATAGACGTAAGGAGCTCATACAATTCTTCACACATTCTCCTAGTCCAGCTTCACCCACTTCCGCAAGCCTTACATTACACTACACCATTATCAAGAAACATATATATCACAAATTATTGGAGATCAAATATGAAAATAAATCAAGGAATATTTTGCCACCTCAAACACTTACCAATGAACATGGCAAATAAAACTCGGTTTGAATCATGCTACATATTTCTGATCATAATCTTTTTAACCTCTTTAAGTAGCATTCATCTTATCAAACAACAAAACGGTATAGTCTTATACGGTATATAACTATGATTAACTGAAGCCAATAACATAGGCTAATTAAGTATCACTTCAAAAGCATGATATTCCTGTCAAGTTAATAAAAAAAATCAATTTGTTTCAATTACATCATTCTATCAATGTTCTATATCAACATAATTACGAGTGTCGATTCAGGGTTCAAAATGATCTCATCACGTATCAAATGGACCATATGGAGTTGTGTTCAGATGTATCGTATTCGACGTAATAAGCGCCCCGCTCTAAAAAGCTCCCACAGCAATATTTGCTAACATATTGGCTAGTGAACAATCCCAATTAGCACCCCTTCCGATTGACTAATGTACACAAGACTTTTTAATTCGTGTATAATACACACTCGTGTGTTATATGCACCCTTAATTATGGGCAATTAAATTCTGTAAAATATATCTGTCGTGTATAATACGCACAGACTTTTCTTTTGTATCATTTCAAGCTGTCAGCATAAACCACAATATTTACGATCTTTCAACTTTTTTTTTCTCACCAAAATTATAACCTAATAAGAGCCCCCTATTTCTAATTTTGAGAGCGCCCTAGGCGCTTATTATGTCGAATTCGGTATGTACACATTTCATTCAATGCAATAATGTATCACAAAACAATAAACATTTGTGCAGGCCTATTTCTCTTTGTTAGTTTTGTTATCAGTGGGTGGGTGAGAGATTTTAGTGTAAAGCTGCTTTTAACAGTATTCCAGTTATATCACAGCGTGTCAGGTAAATGTGGGAGGAAAGCCCGAAGTGATGCAGGTCTCAGACATTTACCACTTCCAGTGAAATTTGTTACTTCTGCAAGCCATAACATTTGTTATAATATGAGAACATAATTTCAATTTGAGAATTTTTGACATTTGGTGAGGATTTGGAGCCAAATTTCAGCCTCTCAGCAGGTCTAGATAAATCCCAGATTTCCTTGCCAATTACAAATCATCAGTCTTAAATTATTACAAAATGTGTTTCCTTTCATTCTCATAAGACAAACAGTTAGGAGACTGCATTGACAGTTTCCCCAGTCGGTCCACTCAGTTCATAAACAACTGGTCCTGGTAAATGCTTCTAGCGGACCAGGGTATTTGTAAAACCATTCCACTGAGGTATTCAATCTGCAGAAATTCAAACTTGCCCTATAGCAGCATCGTATACCATATATAAAAACTCTCTTCACAAGACTGTAAATGGACAATGGACCACTGATCCAACAAGCAGCACCATGAAATAAGATAGTATTTGGGACAATATGAAGTGTTAGTATTTAGGAGAATATTAAGTTTCAGTTTCATTTTTAAAGGATAGGACATTATTTCCTTGGTTTCTTCTCTGCCGACTTCTGGAAGTAGTTCAAAATAGACTTCATCCCCTTCACTGGTGTCTACAAACAAGGAGAGAACACAGTCAACTTACATAAATTGCCATCATACCGGCAAAAACAAATACACTGAAGGGAGTAAGACTAGTGATGTCAGGACACACTTGCCTCTGATTGTTTTGGCTTGATCATACAAAACATTGCTATAATTTAGAATATTGATGTACTGTGTTCAAAAATATGTCCTGAAATTTATTTTAATAGTGTTTTGATCTAAATTCCCTAAATTTTACATTACTAACATTTCAAATACTGATTTATCAATGTGCCCTAAAATGTGGCTTACCTACCCTTGTAAGGGCCGAGCAACAAAGGGAGACAATCATGTGCCCACAAAGTGGGTTACCTACCCTAGGAAGGGCTGAGCAACAAAGGGAGACAATCATATGCCCCATAGAGGGTTACCTACCCTTATTATAGATCTGCCAGGAGAAGAGCAGTCACTTCGTCCACACATATCATCCTCTGATGTAACAGACTTGGCCGGACTCGGAAATATACCCCTTCCATGTCCGTGTTTACCAAGTCGGATCTGAGTAAGCCAGTCAATGCACTTCTTGTCCTGACTTGGACTTGCCATTACCACTGACAATCGTTCTTGGCGGTTCTCAGCTTCATCCACTACAAGGTTGGGGAGATTACGCGTTGGTGAAAACACTTCTCCTTTCTCACTATTTGCACACTTGTCAATAATAGAATTTTTAAGTCCTTCAGATCTTATATCACATGAACTTGCTTTTTCAGAATTGTTTAATTCTGCCTCCAAATCACGCAGAACCATATCACTCTTGGCAGGACTGCTTTGTTCAATATGGCGCCGTTTACACTGTTCATTTGTCTCACCAATGTCTAGTTTCCTTTTCGACGTTTTCTTAGCTGAACAACTGTTCTCTTTCTCCACATATGCCTTGAATGGGACAGTACTGCTGCCATTGAAGTAGCCTGTATCCTCCTCATCCTCATCCAATTTCAACCTGGATGCTTTCCGAGGAGACGGATGAAAGGTTTGTTTCTGCGGAGATTGTAAATGTACTTGCTCGCTGAACACAGGACCTTCGGGCTTATTTTCTTTAAATGATTGTTTTTTAAACCAGTCTTTAATGGATGGTGACTTTCCTAAACTGGGAGACTTTCCCCCTGGTGACGAACGAGGCTGACTAAGGGGAGAGTACTCCCTGACAGGACAGGTAGGCTTCTTTGGAGTCTCTTTAGCTGTGGGTACGGTTGAAGTCCCTGTAATGGAAACTGTAAATACTGAGAGACTGTTAAATTATAATGAGTTATTTATGTTATTTATTTCAACTTCAGGCTATCCTAAAACAGTATCTTATATCTGTTATATTTTACCAATGTTCACCAAGTGTATATATACATTGACACCACATGAGTATTGATCCAAGTAAGAAACAAGACAATTATGGCATGTTAGTGTTTGTTTGTTTGTTTGTTAATGCTGCACTCAGCATTAATCCAGCTATATGACGGCAGTCTGGAAATCGAGTCTGGACCAGACAATCCAGTGATTGAAATCATGAGCATCAATCTATGCAATTGGGATACGATGACATGCATCACCCAAGTCAGCCAGTCTGACCACCCGATCCAATTAATAGCCTCTTACGACAAGCATAGTCGCCTGTTACAGGAAGCATGGGATGCTGAAGACCTATTCTACCCCGGACCTTCACGAGAGGCATGTTAGTGAAGTTAATTCATGACTTTAATGAGCCCATGTGACATATTGAGTATTGAGGAGTTTACAGTTATTCTGAATATTTCTGCTGCACATGACACCAAGAACTGGCTCGCAAATTATATGTACGGTGGTTGCTGTATTGATGTATTCTTAACTACTACTCACTGGGCTACTCTGTTTAATCCTAACTTAAGGAACAACCATATAACAAGAAGACATGGAATGCTAATATATTCACCGATTTCTCTGTGGGTCCTCTCCGCTGTTCCTGCCACCTCCCCAAACAATGGCGGCTTGACTCTCCGCAGCACCCTCCACAACTTCATGGAGTTGTCGTCAGACAAGGTGGCCAGCTTCAACACAGCAAGGTGTTAGATAAACACAGAAGTTCAGATATTGAAAAAGAAACCTCAGCATTGTAGCTCACCTGGATGTGTAGTGAACAGTTTACAATAGCCACTTGTTCCAAACTAAAGTACTGTCGGAAATGCAAGAAAAAAATATTTTAAAATATTTGTGTGTCGTCATGCATGTATGAAAAAGCCTATAGCCAGAGGTAATGACCCAACACTTTGTCCCGAGGTGATTACCTCACACCGGGCTGTGCATTCTCACAGGTCTCAAAATATTGCTGTTTTTGTACTTTATTGAGATATGTGTTGGCGGGGTAGCAATTAAGATATGTACTACATAATATTTGCATGGAAAACTGTGAGAATAGTTACAAGCTGTGAAAAGGGATGAGTACTGGTAGGTTTGCTTTTTTAAATCAAGAAGGATGTGTTGTTCTACAGACAATTTCTTTAGCCAGCATCTGACTCAGCTGATGATGTATCTGAATCGGTAATATCCCAAGGTATGTTAGCTAGTGCAACAAGGTTGATATGTACGCTGTCATGCACGTTGGGGGAACTGGCGTTCTATTTCAAAATGTGATCTTCAGCCTTTGCCATAGCTCTGGTGTAATCCTTGCAAAGGCTGCGTTGTTCAACCCTTTGACATGGGTGAGTTTGAATGTTGCGTTAGGTTTTCCCACGAAACATGTGCAGTTAGCCAAGAGAAGATCAATAGGGTTGAGCTCACAATTTCTAACTGGCGTACGTAAGACACCACTATGACATATATCTTGTACTTTACATGGTCTGAAGTCGACATTTCAAGATGTCAGATATTCCTGCATGGTCGCCTTTAGACTTATCATGGTTGGCGCGAAAGTGTCTGGTTCCTGGACGTTATGATAAATATTCTATCCTTTTTTTAAACACGCAAAAAGCATTTTTCTAGCATTTCAGACAGTACTTAAAGGGCTCATGGCAGGCAGTTTGGGAAAAATAATCAGTATTTCGCTCTACAAAGTTATAAGATTAGTTATCGCTGTATAACATGAATTGGGAAATTTATAATTCCAATTTTGGACTTTTTACTGACATTGCTGCAGACGGAATATCGGCCACTGAGCAGGTTTAGATAAAGCCCTGCTAACAGATGCCTGAGACTGTATGGCAGTACTTCCCACAGCTATGGAAAGTCTCTTCCATGTCAAATGTTTAGCCACTGAAGTGGGAGATAGACAATGTCCAGCTTTCAGGATCAATCATACAGCCCGTAAACGTATTAACCTTTTTGGGGTTGCATGAGTAGTAGGGATTTCACAATACAGGTGGCACATGATACAATACATATCTCAACACATAAGTCACGAAACGATATATATCTCGATTCTACATATACAACATTTTGTGAGTTAAACTCAGTCATTAGACTGAGAATAGAGTCCATAGACTCACTTATGAAGGTGAAGAAGGCCAACTGACAAATACCTACGGACATGACACACAAGTCAAGTCAACAATTCTGTATGAGAAAATTTTGTGCCCGAAAGACGACCAAGAAAGTTGAGGAATAAAAAAAAGGTGTGTACTTGGTTATTGATATTGATGCGAGATCAACATGGACAATCGATATAGGGTTAAATGTGAATCGATACCAATTTAAGTGTATCGGGTTTCTGCCAACGATGCAACTGTGTACTGGAAAATCACGACATCACTAATGATTGAAAAACACATTGTGACTTTCACTTTCGCGATGTCGTAAGAAACGCTCTGATTGGCTGGATGAAAGGTTGTGCTGACATGATCTGTAATTCAATGTCCTCAGATCTTTGTGTAATGTTCGAGAGCACGAAGATATGATTCTGTCGAGACTGAGTTTCAAACAGATGCTACTATCACTAGTGTACCTAGTCAAGGCTAGTTACACACAAGCTGCCATGTCATGATAAACTGTATAGCTGTGAAATTGCTGTGAGCAACAGGTACTGCAGATTCCTCAAACACCCATGCTCCCTATCAGTACAAATCATATGTTCAATATGTAACTAATAATAATGTGATCAGCCATCATACAATGGGTAAAACCAGGATGAATGTGTGTCAAGTGTATTGTTCGGAATCAAACCCTGATTGTCTGCATTACACACTAATGAACACACTAACCAGAAGGGCAGGGACGAGTCCAAATTTACTACCCGGGTACCAACTCCCCTATTACCCAACCCTACCCGGGTACCCGCTGTAGTTCTCAAGAGATAGGTACAAACCATCCAATTTAGAAAAGTTTGACCGTAGCCCTGGCAAAATGTATTTAGATACACGTATAAAACAATCTGGTCATGCATGCACTGAAGTTGACTAAAGTTTTAGTTTAATTCAAACATATAAAAGTTATTTCAGAAAGAACTGCGAGCATTCATGACTTGTAGTTAAAAAAAAAGTTCTAATTAATTTTTGTCATTAAACAATATATCACTTGACTAACCACAGGTCCGGGTCGTCCTGTGGGTACCCGGGTCCTACTCATTACCCGTCCCCGCCCTACTAACCAGAGTGCTACCACCCAATCCCTTTGTTTACCTTTGTGAAGTCATGCTTGCTCCATGAGACACTCGTGACCTCCGCCCGATGGCCCTTCAACACAACTGGCGACTTGTTGGGCTTGTCAATCTATAGAAACACACCGACAAGTGTAGAGAATGGTCAAGTCCATTCAAGACAAAAAAAATCATCTGACTCCGAGCCAAAAAGTCCTTGTTTCATCCCCAGGCAGGTTAACAACAAGTATACTCTTTTTACGTCTTTAGTTATGATGCGGCCGGGAATAAAACCACCGACCTTCTGCTCTCCGAACTCGATACATTAGTTCAAGTTGTTACTGAAAATGTGATTGCAAATAATAGCCTGGAAAGATAGTGGTTTCATGCAGAAATATTCATCAGCGGTGTGAAACAAATGCAACTTGTTTGAGACTTATACCAAATTGTTTCAACTAAAACACACACAAAATGTAAAAATTTGAAAATAGGAAAAGGCAATAGTTGAGCATGAGTTCATTGCACATGTATAGTTGCATGCAAAAACATTTATTAGTTTGAGAGTTATCGCTCGGAAACAAAGCCTAGACTTGTTCAAGGTTAAGTCCAAATTGTTTCCATGGAAACAGAACAAAATAAAATATAGAAAAGTTTTAAAATAGCAAATGCAGCAATGCATTGGCCTTCAAGTTATGGCCCGGAAATGAACCCTATGTAGAGAGACATAAATAAGTGTTCTAAGTCTCTAAAATGAGAAAAGTAAACTGTAGCAAGACAAGTAGGACATGGTTAGTTTGCATCTTGCAACAAAACCTGACCTTATGATGAGATACTCATATCGTGAGTCCAACATGTATCAAGATGCCCTGACCTTCCACAAATTATTAGTATTCATTAGAGTCAATACAGAGGATAGCTCACCTCCCACACATAGGCCATGGAGTCACTGGAACCACTCAGGAGGAAGTCGTTGTCGGGACTGATGGAAGACTTGACATAGAACGTGTGGTTCTGATGGCCTCGGAAGGTGTTCACTGAAGACAGTCAATTGATGAAACAGGCTTCAAGCTTCAATACATAGCAACATTATTTTTCACAATAACAAATTCATATCAGTCCTGTAAACAAGCCCTCAGTCTATCAATGTCAATCAATCCAGGAAAAAGAATTCAGACGGATTAGTCCTTGTTTCCAACTACAATTTGTCATTAACATTCCAAGACTTTGGGAGAATTTTGTCAACAGCAAGGGCAAGTAACACTAGACACACTTACAGATGTTATTTTTTTATGCCTATTGAATTTACATTTAGAAAATAGTGCTTGAGAAAAGTTCCCTTCTTCTTCAACACCTACACAAAACATACAATGAAAAGAATCCATTTCTTGGCCTAACTGGAATGAGTGATTGAGTATGGGCCACGCTACTTTCGGTCACATTAGGTCATATCACAACAGGAAACAACATCAAAACTGAACTGGTGTCTCCGGTGTAGATTCAACCACACCATTTTCCTAGGCCTTACAGGCTATTCAAGAAATAGTACAGAACAAAACTTTTTCGAATGAAGTAATCTGCATCAAGTCTTATTTAATAATAAGCAGCATCAATGAATCAATGACAAGCATCCTGCATTCACATGACCTTACATAGCCATGGTTCATACAGATATGGAACACTAAAATTCAGAGCCTTGTCAACTTTCAAGGCTTTTCAAGGTTGCTTGCTGTCATTTTCAAGGCTTTTTTAGCTGGGTTATTTTATTAGCCTTAGTCTGTCAATATTTTTTTTAACATCCAGCATACTGTATATAAGTCATAAGACCATACTATATATTTGTAGAATTTTCCTATTCGGAATATTCTATAAGTAATACGTTACCACTGTTATACCGAGGCTGTTGTCTCCCACAACTGCTGCTATAGCGAAATCTACCACAGAGATCTCAATTACCTCATGCAGCACGTGCGTAGCCACCTAGCTGCCATGTGACACCCTTCACTCTTGTCTCCTGCGAGAGCAAGTGCTCGGGGGACGGACGGGCGGGCAGCAGCCCAGTGGTAACGTATTACTTATAGAATATTCCGAATAGGAAAATTCTACAAATTACATTAAGTAATACGTTACCACTGTTATACCGAGGCTGACTACCACAGTAGGCGGTGGGGAGCACCTGCAACCCGAATCCTGACTGCTAGCGTTCCTTCCGACCAGCGGAAGTAAACACCAAGGCGGAAGCACTCGATGCGCATGCACCTAGCTAGGCGTTACCCTATAGGAATACCAAAGCACTGTCATGCGCATACCGTAAGGCTCAATCGTCATTGCCAAAACGATTGGTGACTCCAAACGGCCCCACTGGATAGGTATTTCATCGCCGCAGCGGATGAGAACACTGTATCCGCGTGAGCTAAATCTTAGATCAGGTTAAACAGTCGAAAAGAGGGAAATTAATTTCCTTCAGACCGTATATCCCAGAGCAAGCCTACTGAAAGTATGCATTAGGCGCGTGACCTAATTCCAGTATTCGTAAGCATGTATCGCAAGGTTGGAATACACGACAGACAATTAAATGCATAATTGTCAAAATACAAATAAGGACAAAACACACATAAAGCCGCCTCACCTGTGGTGTGAGTGCGCTGGTTTGCAGGACCCCCACTCCTGTACCCACGGCGTGGGAACATTGGAGACGACCCAGATTGACCACCGTGCAAGGACTGACGACTGCGGAGTTTGAAATTGCGCTGGACACACCCCCTAGATGACCGCTTGTGCCGCGATCAGCGGCCCAAGACGGTGCACCCCCTCCACGTCTTCATCAGAAACCTTTCTGAGGTAATGATTGGCAAAAACCGAGTCAGAACGCCAGTAACAACCTCGTAATATTCTGTGAACAGAGATATTCGAGTGTAGGGCAAATGTTGCCGCTAGCGCCCTGATCTCGTGCGGGTTTGACCCCGCTACCGGTAACCCCCGAGACCGGTACGCCAGATTGATGACAGAACGAAGCCACAACGCAATCGAGTTGCGAGTTATGTCAACCGTGCGATTAGGGTTACACGATATGAACAGACGGTCACGCCCTTGTCTACGTTCATTCGAAGCCTTAAGATAATACTTAAGGGCCCTAACCGGACACAGCGCTCTGTCCTCAGTATCAGCAGGATGTAAGATTTCTTTGAGTGATCTGACAGTGAATTCTCTCTCCGCTTGCCCGACTCTCTGATTCTTGGCGACGAAGCCCATGAGCAGGCCCAGGCGGACCGCTCCTTCGTCACCCCTATCGAATCGTACCTTGGCGACATCGAGTGCATGAATTTCGGATACACGTGCCGCCGTGGCAAAGGAGAGGAGAAATGCTGTTTTCCAAGTCACATGCCGGAACGAAGCACTATGCAAGGGTTCATACGGAGCTTCCGTAAGTGATTGCAACACTAGGGAAAGATCCCAGGCCGGTGCCCGAAGGCGGCCCTTCTTAAGATCGTGCTGTTTGAAACCCTTGATAATACCCCGTATCACCGGCTCTTTGGAGAGACTGGTACCCATAGCAACGTCCCGTACCGTAGCAACGGACGAGACATAGTTGGCAATGGAACCCCCGGAGAGTTTCCGGGTCTCTCGCAAGTGAGACATGAAACGAGCAATATCCTGCACAGATACCTTATCTGGCGAATGAATGTGATGTTTACAACACCACTTCGTGAAAATAACCCAACGTGCATTATACACCTTCTGGGTAGAATCACGATGCATACTAACGTATGCCCGAGACGCCCGGCGAGAAAAACCTTTACTCCTCAGACGCTCGGTGACAACATCCACGCGTGCAGATTGAACTGCCCTGCGTTTGGATGAAGCTGACGGGTGTGAGGGTGGATCAAGAGATCCGGTCTCACAGGCAGTGGGAGTGGCGACTGCGTGACCTGGGTCAGCAAGTCGGGGTACCACGATCTGTTCGGCCACATGGGCGCGATCAGTAACATTCGACAGCGAACTCCTCGAAGCCGGCTTAGAATGTGTGGTATCAACGCTGTCGGCGGGTAAGCATAAGCGTCCAAGTCCGTCCAGTCTAACGCGAGAGCATCGTGATCGATGGCCCTCGGGTCCGGGACTGGTGATACAAACAACGGGAGTTGATTGTTGAACCGCGTTGCGAACAGGTCGACCATCGGACGACCCAAACGTTCGCACAGCCACTGAAACACTACTGGATTCAGCATCCACTCTGTGGGGCTCGGATCCCGAGGCCTCGATAGAGCATCGGCCAGTACGTTCCGCACACCTGGGATGTGACGGGCGCGTATCTGGCACGGGACACTGTCCACCAGAGCGTAAAACTCGAACGTGAGATCGAGCAGCGAGTGACTGTGGGTTCCCCCCAGTTTGTTCACATAGGACACTACCGTCGTGTTGTCGGTCGCCAGCATGAGCCGGGCGTCGACGAGACGATGCTTCCAGTGATTGACTGCGTTGATCACTGCCTTGAACTCGAGACAATTGATGTGAAGACCTAGTTCGTCTACGCACCACAGCCCCGAGCTCACCTCCCCCTCTAGATGGGCGCCCCAGCCCACTAGAGAGGCGACTGTATACAGGTTCAACGTGGCCCGGTAGGGCCGCATAGAGACTCCTGATAAGACATTGTAAGGGACCGTCCACCACTCCAGATGCGGTCGGAGCCGATCCGGGAGGGCGACGGTCGCACTGTTCACCTCCGTTGCTAACAACTGGATTAAAAACCGTTGCAGCGGGCGGAGTTGGAGACGACCCCGTACGGTGCAGTCCTGGGCTGATACAAGTAGCCCTAACAGCTGTTCCCAAAAGTGAACAGTCTGTTGCACCGCTAAGACTTTGGCAATCATCGCCTGAATTTTGTGCCACCGGTCTGGGGGGACAAATAGGCGATGGGACACCGTGTTGAACCGACCTCCGATGAACTGCAAGTTCTGAGAAGGGGTTAACTCGCTCTTGGGGAGATTGACAATCCACCCCAATTGCTCCAAGAGCCGACGTGCGAAAACGAGATGGCGTGACAGGGTGTCCGACATTCGATTTGCTACTAGCGAGTCGTCCAGGTACGCGAAGTACCGGACACCCCTCCGGTGGAGGAACCCCACTATGGGGGTGGTTAACCGTGTGAACAGCCAGGGAGCGGACGAAAGACCGAATGGGAGTACAACCCACTTGTAGTGCCTGCCTTGAAAGACAAACCTGAGATACCTGTGATGATCCGAGTGAATCGGAACATGCAGATAAGCATCCTTCAGGTCGATCGAAGCTAGCCAGTCGGCCGGCATGATCAGTGCTTTCAGGTCCGTCAAGCTCAACATTCTGAACTTGGGCGGCTTGCACAGGTAGAACTCGTTGAACGATTTCAAGTTGTGAATCATTCTGAGTTCGGCACTGTCCTTCTTGGGAACGAGAAATATCCTGGAGTAAAACCCCGGTGTTATTTCTGGTAGAGCTAACTCCCGAACTGCCCTCTTCTCCACCAACCTGCCGATGGCATCGGCGAGGAAGGGGAGATCGGTTTCCGAATAGAAACCTGCCGACGGGGCAACGGTGAGCGGCGGATTCGCTTTGAGATCGAGCCGATAGCCGTACCGAATCGTGTTGACCACCCACGGGTCGTCGAACACTTGTTCCCAATTCTCCCAGTAAGTCTGGAGTCTGGCTCCCACTGGGGAAAGAGAGGGGGGCCGGACGGGCTGCGGCAGGCGCAACTGTCCAGGGCAGTGTGACTCGGGTTCGCCTACGGGCCAACCGAAGTTGGCGCTGTCGGCATACGAACCCCTCCAATGAGAGTCACCTGGAGGGGCCCTTGCCGTCCTTAGACGACTTGGGCTTCCCCCAGTTCCCCTTCTTCCCGCAAAAGGGCTGCTGAGAACCCTTACAGGAGCCCTCAGAGCAGGGCTTCTTCCCGGAGGAAGAAGGACCCGACCCCTTAGGCCTGCCGGACGCAGCAACCTGGGGCGCGCTCCGCTTCGGAGCGGCACCCAGGCGCCTATGCAAGGACCCCACAAGATCCAGTGTGTGCCGAGAGGCCTCGGCAGACACAGCGGCCTGTTGTTCCTTCAGAACCCCAGGGATCTTGTTATTAAACAGGGTCCGAGCAGACCAAGGCTGCGAAAGGAGCACCTCCTGATTGGCAGCGTCCAACCCTGAAGCAACCAGATACGACTGGCGCCGAAGAAAATGGCACGTGCCAGAAACAAAGGCCGAAGCCCCGGCAACGTACTCCAGGGAAGCATTCAAACCGAGCAAGCAGTTGTAAATGCGCTGGTCACGGTCCGTGGGAGAACCTTCGACCAGACTGGCCGCCGCAGCCAGGTATGTGTCTCCGTGAGACATAGCCAGCATGGAGTGTCGAGCGAGGGTGTCCAGCTGTTGCAGGGTACCTTGCGGTACCGTGGCAACCGGTGGGGCACGGACCCCCAAACGCTCCACATGGGCTTCCGCAGAAGGACCAGCCTCGGGAAAGGCAAGGTCATGAACTGGGAAAGACCCTTTTCTCCACGACGGGGGAGGTAACGGGAGACCCCGACCGGAGGCAGCCGTGAAGGCTTTCTCCAAAGACGGCTTAATCCCGCGCAGCAAGGTTGATGCCGGGAAAGCCTTGTCGGACGACTCGTCGTATACCTCGGAGGAACCCACGGAACCGTGGATACCCCGCGGTATCGGCAGGGGCTTTGGCATGTCCTCGAAGAGGTCATACACCATGGCCACGCGGTCCTTAACCGATAGCGGAAGCAACGGTTCGGGGGAAGGACCGGTAACCACGGCAGCCGGCGCCGTACCGGTGGACCCCGCGTCCGAACCCGCGGCCACCGAAGAGGCCGGGGACGGAACAGCCAGCGGCCTATCTTGCGATAAGGCCGCCAGCTTGGAGTCCACAATTTGCGACAACAATGCGGCGACGGAAGCCCCAGACAGCCCGAGGGCCGCAAGGGGATCCGCCGCAGCCGACAAGGAGGTGCCCGCACGGGGGCCCCGACCGGACGAACCGGCCACCTCAGGGGTGGAAACGGACTGCGCGCACAGCCGGTACCGCTCAAACTCCGCAGGTCCCAGACCTTCGCACAGGGTGCACCGGGTTTCCTCGCAAGGAACCCTGCACCGCGGGCAACGATCGTGGGGATCCCGGGACGACAAAAACTTTCTGCACACCCCACAACTCCGAGGAGCAGGGGTAGAGGGGGTGGAGACGGGACATATCCATGTCAGACATTGATTGTTTTCTAGAAACAAAGAACAAAACATGGTTACAACGCACGCACCACAATGATTCACAAACGAACATTTTCACAAGAAAATAAACGAGCAATGTGAACATATAACATACACATATAACTTTTACTAAAGAAATAAGTTATGTTAACCCCCAAAACATACAAGAACAGGGGAAACGTAAAACACAACGTGCATACGCGAACCCCGCAAGTATATAGAAAAAAAGGGCGGGAAAAAATTTCCGTTTGGCGGGAAAATTATAACCAAGCGTAGCTACCGCAACGCCCCATAAAAGCACAGTTTATTAGAGAATAAACGATAATAAATATCACCAAATCTTCAAGGAACGCTTCAGCAGGAGAAAACACGTCTTGCTAAGCAGACGAAGGAGACAAGAGTGAAGGGTGTCACATGGCAGCTAGGTGGCTACGCACGTGCTGCATGAGGTAATTGAGATCTCTGTGGTAGATTTCGCTATAGCAGCAGTTGTGGGAGACAACAGCCTCGGTATAACAGTGGTAACGTATTACTTAATGTAATTAGTCAAACAAGATTGATTTTAAAACCAAGAAATAAGATAAATTAAGTCTGTTATGAACTCATCAGGGTGTTTGGCAAAGTGTCAAATCTATCACTGATAAATCACACTAAAACATCCTTGGTACATAACTATTAGTTTTGTGGGTAATACTTTTGACAAGTTTATGTCATTTTGTACCAATTCAAGGCTTTTCAAGGTAGACATTGATAATCAAGGCTTTTCAAGCTATTTTGGTGATTTTCAAGGCTTTTTAAGGTTGACATTAATAATCAGGGCTTTTCAAGAGGGACCTTAAAATTCAAGGCCAAGGTATTGTATTAGAGTAAAAATATCACATATTCTTAGACTCATACTTATTGCTTATCTCATCTCATAACCAAAAGGTAGTGGAAACATCCTGAACTGTGTTCCCAGTGTACGGAAAAACAACTCACCCGAATTCACCCAAGTTGCAGGGGCGTATCGGAACCACATCTCTGAGTATTACTACCTAACACAAGCGCCCACTTACCTGGCTGTTTGTTGTATGTGACAAGGTCGTACTGGTAGATGATGTCGTCTGTACAGCTGGCAAATAAATTAGCACCGTACGAGTCGACTGTCAGGCTGGAATAACCTGTCAAATGAACATGTCATACAGTATTTATACAACAGTGAATCAATGAATGTTGTGTCAAGCCACATCTTGTTTGAACAGTCACAGGTTCAGCACTGATTGATGTCAAGGGAGGACCAGACACAATCAGCTAAATCATACAATGTTACCACCAAACTTATTTGTTTGTTGATAAACATTGCATCAGTAATATTCAAGCTATAAGAGGGACTGTAGAGTCTGGACCAGGCAAACCAGTGATTGATAGTATGAGCAACATTCCATGCCATACCACCCAATCCAAAGTCACCTCAAATGACAAGCAAAGGTTGCTGGTGTAGCATTACAAACCTGGAATCCCCAAGACACATTGACTACTATGCAACTGTGTATTTAGTAAACAATCACATGGATCCTATAGACATTAGAGATTGATAACTTGATTAATAACTCCATGTTCATAGAGTACAAACAGTTACTTTAACATTTTTTATGTATGGCTGACCACAATACTGTCAACATTTCTAAATGAGTGAGTGAGTGAGTATGGTTTTACGCCACTTTTAGCAATATTCTAGCAATATCACAGCGGGGGACACCAGAAAAGGGGCTTTACACATTGTACCCATGTCGGGAATCGAACCCGGGTCTTCGGCGTGACGAGCGAACGTGAGGTATACCACATCAGCCTGTGAATAATTGAGTTTGAGATGACACATGAACCTTTGGATCAGGAGCTAAATATGTCTATGGATAAAAATTGAAATCCCATATCCAAAAAACATAACAACAGCATATGACGCACTAATTGGCATACCATGTTTACTTGCCCGAGGTCCTCCATAAGGGAAGCTGTATCGAGCCACAGGGTCCGAGTTGAGTGAGGAGTAGTTCTTTCGTAAATCCCAAATCTTTATACATCTGAAAGGTAAATCAAACTTTAATGACAACATTCAAATACTGGTCTGTAGAATGATGACTCAAAAATAATAATAACAAACAAAGTTTCCAGCTTCAAAAAAACATTAGGACATTTCCACACCAAGATCAAAAGAATGGGAAATGCACAGCGTGAGATAGGATAAGTTTAAAAATTTGTGAATTTGTAACGAGACCACTGTGGCCCCTGCCCCGTTATCCCTGTTCCACGCTGCCTAACCCCTACCCCATGCACCCTTCTGCCTACCCCGTGCTCCCTACTGCCTCCCCCATGCTCCCTACCCCATGCACCCTTCTGCCTACCCCGTGCTCCCTACTGCCTCCCCCATGCTCCCTACCCCATGTTCCCTTCTGCCTACTATGTGCTCCCTTCTGCCTACCCCATGCTCCCTACCCCATGCTCCCTCCCGCCTACCCCATGCTCCCTTCTGCCTACCCCATGCTCCCACCCGCCTACCCCATGCTCCCTTCTGCCTACCCCATGCTCCCTCCCGCCTACCCCATGCTCCCTTCTGCCTACCCCATGCTCCCTACCGCCTACCCCATGCTCCCTACCGCCTACCCCGTGCTCCCTACCGCCTACCCCGTGCTCCCTACCCCATGCTCCCACCCGCCTACCCCATGCTCCCTTCTGCCTACCCCATGCTCCCTCCCGCCTACCCCATGCTCCCTACCGCCTACCCCATGCTCCCTACCGCCTACCCCGTGCTCCCTACCGCCTACCCCATGCTCCCTTCTGCCTACCCCGTGCTCCCTACCCCCTACCCCCTACCCATGCTCCCTTCTGCCTACCCCATGCTCCCTTCTGCCTACCCCATGCTCCCTACCGCCTACCCCATGCTCCCTTCTGCCTACCCCATGCTCCCTCCCGCCTACCCCATGCTCCCTTCTGCCTACCCCATGCTCCCTTCCGCCTACCCCATGCTCCCTCCCGCCTACCCATGCTCCCTTCTGCCTACCCCATGCTCCCACCCGCCTACCCCATGCTCCCTTCTGCCTACCCCATGCTCCCTCCCGCCTACCCCATGCTCCCTTCTGCCTACCCCATGCTCCCTACCGCCTACCCCATGCTCCCTACCGCCTACCCCGTGCTCCCTACTGCCTACCCCGTGCTCCCTACCGCCTACCCCATGCTCCCTACTGCCTACCCAGTGCTCCCTACCGCCTACCCCAATGCTCCCTTCTGCCTACCCCGTGCTCCCTACCCCCTACCGCCTACCCATGCTCCCTTCTGCCTACCCCATGCTCCCTTCTGCCTACCCCAAGCGCCTACCCTGTACTTCCTTCTGCCTACCCCGTGCTGCCTACCCCGTGCTCCCTAACGCCTACCCCATGCTCCCTACCGCCTACACCTTGCTTCCTACCGCCTACCCCATGCTCCTGTGCCCTATAGTGTAGCAGTACATACCCATCCACAGCGCCAGAGGAGATGAGCAACATGTCAGACTGGAATGCTACAACTGTGACACTCTGTTGGCTGTCCTGGAAAAAATATGTCCAAATATTAATGATTTGGGTGGAAGAAGCTGCTAGTTTAAAACATAACATTTGCTGTTTGTTGCCTTACACCACAGTCCACATGCCAGCTATATCTGCCTGTAGGTAATTCAGGGCCTAACAAACCAGTGGTTGATATTGAGAGCCTGACCACTAAAACCAAATTAGTCCTCTTGTGACAAGCAAATGTGTTCCCCACTGGGTAGAAAATTAAGAATCCAGCCTACCTCAGCTCTATAGGCAATGACACATACCAGTAGTCAATAAGTCTGTAAAGAATATATTGCAAGACAACAAGAAAACAGCATTATCACTATCCCCGGTCATGGAGCACATTAGAACATTTATTTACTCATATAGCAGTGAATATAAACTATAAAAAGAAGGCTTATAAAACCTTAAGAAGAGATAGGCACTAGGGTTGCTTTATGTCATCAGAAAAACTGATTACATCTGAAATTAATACACACAAAAGGCCCCTTCCCTGGAAAAAATAATTTACGGCACCAATTCTCGAACTCCTTCTTGATAAGTATCTCTCAGATGAGCTAATTTCAGAAGTTTCTGAGACAACTTGTCCCCACACTTCATGCAGTATGAAAAAGCATGGAGCAAGGGCCATAATTCTAAAAAATTAATTTACGACACTAATTTTTGAACTCATTTAAGATCATGACCAGTAATATCAATTTCATTTCTCTAACTTAATAGTTTTGAGAAAACTTGTCCCCTTTGAGAAGCAGATGGACGGACAGACAAACGAACATGGTGGCCGGTGATAATAACCTGATATTGGTATTGATTGGCATTGATCATGTCTACTGCAAGTCCAGTTGTGGAAAACTGATAGTTTAATTTAAGAAAGATAACAACAGATATCATCTCCTTAGTTTGACAAAACTGAAAGTACCAAAAGATACTAATAAATGTTAAATAGCAAAATACTAAAAGAATAATTCTCAGTCAAAGACATGACTGTTGTGTAGCCTGGAGTCAGTCCACTCACCATGACCAGCCCTAGCTTGGTGCGCTTCTTACTCTTCAGACCCTGGACTGAGTGGGCGTTGCGGATCACATTCATCGGAGGGATGAAGCCTTCTACAGACAACACATAATACACATACAACTACGGCTGTAATGATACAATCTGTTGCAATAATAGACATCCTGATTATAGGTTGTGAGTGGGTAAGTATGGTTTTACGCCGCAATATTCCAGCAATATCACAGCGGGGGATACCAGATATGGGCTTCATACATTTTACCCATGTAGGGAGTCGAACCCCGGTCTTCAGCGTGACGAGTGAAAGCTTTAACCACTAGGCTACCCGACCACCCAATAAGGTTGTGACATGACACAATACATGAAACCTCCACACCTGTCCTGTTAGTTTATTGAAGAGTGTTGGTATATGTGATATCAAATGAGACTCAGGTGAGATTCTATTTATCATCCAAAATTACTAACCTTTTCAGTTTGTAAACAGTAATAAAAGATATATCCTGTGGACGCTAGTTCGGGTGATAGAATATATACCTATAATATCTTTACATCCAATTTTATGAACATTTTCTTCTTGATCATTAAGACATCAGTGAATGCTGATAATCCATTTAAATGTTCCAATCCATTCTCCGATTATTCAATCAGTCACACTGGCACTATCCATTATAGTTTTTCTAAAATGCAAAAATATTTACCAAGTAGAACGGGAAGAAAATTATATTTAATCATACAGTTTTATAGACACTTAATGCATCAGTGACAAAACAGTTAATGCACGAACAACTGAGATGACAGCTGCAGACAGATGTGTTACCTTTGTGAGCACAGCGCTTGTCATAGAGCATGACATGGCCATCTCGAGACCCAGTTGCTAAAACAGCTAGAAGAAAAAAAGAGGAAAAAAGACTATTAAAATTTAGACAAAGGAAACATAACCATAGATAAAAAGATCGCAGTGATGAGCAGGAAGTAATGAAAGAACTAATGAGTGAGTGAGTATGGTTTTACACCCCTTTTATCAATATTCCAGCAATATATCATAGCAGGGGACACCAGAAACGGGCTCCACACAATGCACCCATGTCTAGAATCGAACCCGAGTCTTCAGCATGATGAGCGAACGATTTAACCACTAGGCTATCTGACCGCCCCGAAAGACTTAATGATCTACCTGAACATCTGACGTTTAATGAAATAGGAGTGTACAAATAAAGAATTATCATGGGTATGTGCCCTTCATTTTTTTAAGCCTAATAAAGAATGGACAGAAAAATCAGAATGACTAATTTAAAACTTCAATGCCAGTAGTCCATAAACATTAGATTTCCAAGGATTACATCAAGTGCTGTCTGTAACAAGCAGAAGGCTGCATTTATACCATCGTCAAACTTCCTAATTACATCAAGTGCTGTCTGTAACAAGCAGAAGGCTGCATTTATACCATCGTCAAACTTCCTAATTACATCAAGTGCTGTCTGTAACAAGCAGAAGGCTGCATTTATACCATCGTCAAACTTCCTAATTACATCAAGTGCTGTCTGTAACAAGCAGAAGGCTGCATTTATACCATCGTCAAACTTCCTAATTACATCAAGTGCTGTCTGTAACAAGCAGAAGGCTGCATTTATACCATCGTCAAACTTCCTAATTACATCAAGTGCTGTCTGTAACAAGCAGAAGGCTGCATTTATACCATCGTCAAACTTCCTAATTACATCAAGTGCTGTCTGTAACAAGCAGAAGGCTGCATTTATACCATCGTCAAACTTCCTAATTACATCAAGTGCTGTCTGTAACAAGCAGAAGGCTGCATTCATACCATCGTCAAACTTCCTAAAGGCGACAGATCGGATGCTGCTGGTGTGGCCTTTGAACACCTCCATCTTGGTACTGGTGTGCGGGTCCCACAACACGGCCGTCTGGTCACCAGACGCCGTCACAATCTTCTCTTCCGACTCCATCCAGGCCAGATCAAAGATGGCGTTGTTGTGGGCCTGCCACTCTGGGAGGATGCACAATAACTACTGATCACAATGCTTAAGGGTTTTAATATTTTTGGATAAACTTCAGGTCCAGAGGACCCCAATTTTTAGGTTAAAGGTCCCAGTACATAATGAGATGTCACAGCTAAGAATTTACAGCTTGACATTATTAAGTAAATGGTAGCAATAATTAGACTGGGACTTGTCAAATTGCTGATAAAAGTAGTGAATACAGTTCATGTTCTACTCCTTTTGTACATCCTTTGGGATGCCGTATATTCTTTGCATCCAAACCATGAATTTGTGTGAACTGGATGTATATTTATGCTTTGAGGAAATTCTTCTCAAACACAATTCAGACATAAATATATATTCAAACTTCAAGGAGCCCCAGACCCTACTAAATTTCATACACTGCATTTAAGTTACACTGAATAATCCACACCTTTCAACCTGAACAATTAAATCAAGTAAATACTACGTATGGACTCTAGAGCAATGTATCTTAGTTCTAGCCCTCACTACACCCACTGACCACATACTGGTGTGCTCCTGGTGAGATGCAGTAGGTTTGCCAGACCCGGTTTCCTCACCTGTTAGAATGGCCTCTGTCCCAGTACGCAAAGTATTGTACAGCACCAGGTAACCATTCTCATCTACCAGGCTCAGGATATGACTGGAGGATGCAACTGGAAAACAATATTTCAGATTTCCATTTATTCATTTATTTTGTTTCATATACATGGGTATATATAATAAAGAACGGCATTTTTTTTCATATAATCCGAGTTAACCTGTCATGGAATGACAGATTAAGCATAGTCATTTGAAAAAATTGGGTGTTCTCTAAAATGTTTAACTTCCTTTATGTAGTATAGTCTAGATTTTGGGCTGTTCCATAACACCAATTTCCAACAATACGTAGGCAGCATATAAATAATCAAGTCTGGACCAGACAAACTAGTGACTGTCATCATGAGCAACATCATGTGGTTAAGAAACCATATCAGTCCCAATAAGAATTTTTAGCTGGAACATTTTTGCAAGTACATGTATTAGAAAATTCTTATCTTGATCTTATTTCTTAATATTACTTCATTCAACTTTTTTTTATTAATCTTAGTCAATTTGAAAATGGTAATAATGTTAAACTGCATTGACATGAAAAGTACAAGGAGCCTGAAGTAACCAAAAATTGAATAAACAAATGGGTGACAGCGTTTATAGTTCCTCACCTGGACAGAAGCTGCAAGCAAGAGGTGGGACGGACACCTGCAAGGTAGTAGGTTTCCAGTCAGCGAAGTTCACTATATGTTTATAGAATTGTTAAACTCTATTCCGAAGAAATTTCATTGCCATGTCTCAATATCATTTGAGGTGTGGTCAAAATGCAGAATGAAATGCTGTCATGATTGTATGTTTCATGGATGATCATTCATAAATTCATATAGTTTTAAACACTATTTTGCCTTTTACGCCCAAAGGTATATGTTTCAACAGATTATCAAGAGTGGTTATTCTCTGGCAGACATATTTCCATACAACTCGGGCTTGAGAGCAAATTGTTGATATGTAAGTCAAATCCAGCATACGTCTTTGACTTTGTTATGATTGATATTTGAATGCCACACGTGATTTGGATTAAATGTTACCAATATCATATTTACAAACATTATTACATATTCTGAAGGACATAAAGTCTGCAAATATAATTTGTGTGAGCCGCCACAGCTTCATTTGAGAAGTGATGTCATCACCATAATTGCTCCAATCCCTTAGCACTGAATTTCTCTTGCTCACAACAATAATTTAAGACAACTACTTTACAATACGAAGCAAATGCCAGACAGCGAATCAAAGGTATTCATAAAATGCATTTGAGATGTTATTATTATAGTATATCATTGTCAACATGTTAATATTTGTTAACACTTAATACCCCATCATCTTCTGAAGCCAATAAATAATCATCACTGGTGAGAGACTCGAACTGATCAAGCAATGGAGATATCACACTTTGGGTTCGTACTTTCCGGCGTCCTGGGATAGTAAAAGAAAATTCATTCAACATCTAGATCTAGTAGAAGATATTAGTAGTAATAAGCTTTATCCATTATTATATACATTAAATATTATGTCCCAAATATTCAAGCATGCTGTACTTTAATTTCTTCTTGCAAACCGATGACCTTGTCAATACTTTGATATACTTTTTTCAGTTACATATTTTGCCATGAAACATAATGTTTTGATTGGAAAGGGCTTCTTTTGGTTACCTCATCATCATTGAAACAATGTCTTAAGAAAACATGAATGATTTGAGAATTGCATTTATTTACCCATACGTACCTTCGCATCTATCATATATACTTCTGAACAACATTTTTGCAAGGGTTTAATCACTCTAAATATTAGAGTATAAAAGTTTGCTAAAATGCTCTACACTAACTCCCGCGACAACTCAAGATTCCGCGCACTCTGACGTCAAGCCTCGTTTTCATACGCAAATAGCAATAAAGTTTTTAAATTCAAGATCTTTTCATAATTAATCTTAAAGATATGAAAATATATGATGTAAAATTGATCACATTATATAAATGGTTATGAGTTAGTCGATTGCGTTTCTTCGAGAATTGAGTCCATGGGCGCCGCCATATTGGATCTTTCTAGAAGTGACTGCCGGCGTGAGAAACTCATGCCTGTATAATCCGCTACCATCCACCACTCAGTCTTCTTCCAAAATGCCAGCAAAAGGACACAGAGCTCAGGGGCCAAGCCGATCTGAATACAAGGACAAAGATAAGCCAACACAAATCAGACTAAGCAACTTTATAGCGGCTAAAGGTAACATCTACCGACCTGAAAACAAAATGTAAACATGACATTTTGGACACGATGTGTATATGAAACATTTGTTGGATGTACGCTACTATGACAGAATGACATATTAACTGAACCCCGTCTTCACCTATCTTTTGTCCATAAGTACACGTGTGTACAAACTCGCCCATTCTCACAATGGTAACCATGGTAAACAATCACTGTCCTACATGTCCAATTTCTTCTAAGAATATTCTAGATCAAGTAGGAACAAGTTTACAGCAAGTGCATTCCTGGCATCATTGTCACCATGTTATCCAATATCTACCCTTTTCTTGCTATATCTGTGCACAAATAAGGATTTAGTGGACTCGATTAGGATTGATATTTAGCAATAATTCACCATGCACACAGCTTATAATATTGCTAGTTTTAATGGAGTTATACCATATCTGACCTTCAGTGAGGCCTGGAACAATAAAAAATATTTAACTTATTGCTTTGTATTACTATGTTTGAGCCAATATGAGGTAATAGTGTGCTCGTGGCACAAAATAGCTACTATTTTACTCACTGTATATCTGGCTTTCACACATCGATTTGCTACTGTACAGTCTTTTGGTATCTTTTCAGAGACATCATATTTGTATTTTGCAGTGTACATCATGATGTATTGCAATCTTTATATCAATTATCTCAATAATGATATAATTCTTCGATATCTGTATAGTTTTATACACCCCACCCTCCTTTCATTGTCCACACCATAATTAATATAACATGAAAACCTTAGTTCAAGATAATTTTTAGCTTTCCGTTGCAGTTATAATACATATCATGCATTCATTACTGTTATGCTTCATATTTATCGTAATCATGTGGGCATAGGTGGCCCAATAGGGTAAGGTGCTGCATCTTACTCAACAGAATTTAACTCAACCAGTAAGTTGTACCAGGATCAGCTTTTGTATATCATTGGCCCAAACCATAATGCTGTTGTGTTGGTGACTATGTACTTGTGATGAATTTTTTGTAAAGTTAGCCAATCTCTTGTTTCAGCTGTAGCAGATGCCATCAGAACGAGTTTGGGCCCCAGGGGCATGGACAAAATGGTGATTTATTATTCTCTATTGATTTTGAAGGATATTGTTTTTTGTACAATCAGTTCGACAGTGCTCCAGATAATTTTTCAGACATGTGTGTACAGTACTGGGCATTATCAGACCTGACGAGTACCTTTTTTAACCAGACATACTTTTTCAAACCAATAAGTACCAAACTACTCGTTTCTAGAATAGACAGGTACTGGTATGATATTATGCTGCCACCATTCAAAGACTTTGTGTTGTTCATACGCATTTTGGTGCTTAACTGACATAAACATAACCAAGACAAGAGAATTTGAGTGCGTTTTTAGCCGTTAATAATGCAGGTTCAGGGGAAATCCATTTGCTGCTGGCATGAAATGATGTGTAACATGCTAAACAAGAAGGCAATGCCTGATATGGTAAACAGAATTTTTACTATGTTTTGAAGAACATTTTTGAGAATAATACATTTTTAAGAACAGTAACAGTAATAATTAATGTTTGCCCACATATTTAATGAGGTTGTAATTTGCCGTCCATACGTATTTGACCAGTTTTCATCTGTACAATACGCTGATACACCATCTACCTGGAGCACTGGTTCCAATTCAAAATAGTACATCAGTTTACTTATTTGACAATTAATCCACAGTTTTCAACATTGATTAAGCAATAAAAACACCACAATTGTTTTTATTTAATCATGTCACCTTGACAGCCGTTACTTCAATTGCAGGAAAGATTAACTTGTTATTTTATACATACCATATTTGCTGTAATAAGCACCACAGGTTCTTAGAAAATTGACAAACGGGAACGCTTTTGAAAACCATACACAAGTTGAACAAACTTTGTTCAAATATTGATGGAATTATCATACCAACATCTTTTTTGATAATAGTTACAAGACAATTTTATGCCCCTTCTGCGCTGCTGTTTTCTCTATAAAAAAACTTGCAATATACACACAAGAAAATGTGAACTGTCTTACTAGGGGGCGCTTATAAAGACTGCTCACAGATTGGTCTAGAAGTTACTCAAGGAGTGTTTATCGAAGCAGGGTGCTAACTATGGTATCTTGATACTCGCCATTGTGAGTACAGGCAATGAGTGTGAAGTTTCCGTTACAGATCCAGGCTTCCAATGGGGATGTGACCATTACCAACGATGGGGCTACTATTCTGAAGGAGATGCAGGTCCTTCACCCAGCAGCTAAGATGGTGAGTACATTTTGTCCAACCCAGTGGGGATTGCAGGTCAGAATCAGTCCCAAGTATACAATACAGCTGACTACTGCTCAAGAAAAGCAAAACCTAGTCTGTTTCATAACATTTTGTCATGTGCAAAGGTTCTCAAATCCTGGTGTCAAAGGCAATTGTCATGCAGTTCAATGTTGTTTGAAATGTAACAATATGGTCGGTTTTTTTATCAGTTTCAAAAGTAAAAAGCTGTACCATTATTGAAGTGTACTGAAACACATACTAGTTGGGTAGTATTTTTCAAGAGAAGCTGATATGACAGTACTAGCAGCGATAGAAACTAACAGTTTTAGTCCACTACTCCTTATGAGAACATATAGCAAAGCCCTTAAACATAGCAAATTTCTACTAGTCCTTATGATATTTTAACTATTGGGCGGTTTGGCAAGGACTATAGGACTAGTGCCAATTACTAACACTGTAATAGTATGAAAAGGCAGTTGAGGTGACGTTAATGTAGACAATGACACTCTACTTCTGTTGCAGCTGGTTGATCTGTCCAAGGCCCAAGATATTGAGGCTGGAGATGGTACTACCTCAGTGGTCGTCTTGGCAGGGAGCATGTTGGATGCCTGCTCAAAGCTGCTTGAGAAAGGTCGGTATAAGTGAATATATAACCTCAAATTTGTAGCTGGAAATATTAATACCATTGATATGAACTATTACTAGTTTGTTACCTCATAAAGAAAGTTTGAGTGCACAGTTTGCTTTAGATCATATTAATTTTTCCCGGACATATTTGACTCACCACTACATATGTCTAGTGCAGCAGTATTGTTATCGCTCAATGGCATTTAAATTTAACAAACCAATTAGTTCATTTTTGGAAAGATAAATCAGTATGCCATGAAGAAAATTGTCTGGAAATGCAAATTTGTACTCATTGACCTCACATCATCTAAAACATGCCCAACAAGAATTGTTCATTGCTAATTCAACAGAGGCCATTTATTGTAAACATCCTGGCAAAAGTACATACAGACTAGTACAGCATGGTACAATGCATACAAACTGGTACAGCATGGTACAATGCATACAAACTGGTACAACATGGTACAATGCATACAAACTGGTACAGCATTGTACAGAGCATACAAACTGGTACAGCATGGTGCAATGCATACAAACTGGTACAGCTTGGTACAATGCATACAAACTGGTACAGCATTATACAGAGCATACAAACTGGTACAGCATGGTACAATGCATACAAACTGGTACAGCATTGTACAGAGCATACAAACTGGTACAGCATTGTACAGAGCATACAAACTGGTACAGCATGGTACAATGCATACAAACTGGTACAGCATGGTACAATGCATTCAAACTGGTACAGCATGGTACAATGCATACAAACTGATACAGCATGGTACAATGCATACAAACTGGTACAGCATGGTACAGAGCATACAAACTGGTACAGCATGGTACAATGCATACAAACTGGTACAGCATAGTACAATGCATTCAAACTGGTACAGCATGGTACAATGCATACAAACTGATACAGCATGGTACAATGCATACAAACTGGTACAGCATGGTACAATGCATTCAAACTGGTACAGCATGGTACAGAGCATACAAACTAGTACAGCATGGTACAATGCATACAAACTGGTACAGCATGGTACAATGCATACAAACTGGTACAGCATGGTACAGAGCATACAAACTGGTACAGCATGGTACAATGCATACAAACTGATACAGCATGGTACGATGCATACAAACTGTGGTACAGCATGGTACAATGCATACAAACTGATACAGCATGCGACTATACATACAAACTGGCACAGCATTGTACAATGCATACAAACTTGTACAACATGGTACAATGCATACAAACTTGTACAACATGGTACAATGCATACAAACTGTAGGACAGCATGTTACATTGCATACAAACTATGGTACAATGCATACAAACTATGGTACAATGTTCAATGTTATATTTAATATTATTTATTCAGGTATTCACCCGACAACAATCTCTGAGGCGTTTCAAGGAGCTGCAGGAAAAGCTGTAGAAATTCTTGAGGGCATGGTGACGCCCCTTGAGCTGTCAGACAGGGAGTCACTTCTCAAGAGTGCCTCTACCTCGCTCAACTCCAAGGTAACCAACAACACATGTCACAGCCTTAGGAATAGTTCCATTAGGCCTAGCCTGAAACAAATCACCTGTTAATAGTTGCTATAAATTGACCTTTTCATTGCCCTTTACTTGAAACCTCTTGGGGCCACTGGGGTACTGCTGACTCAGTTGCTGGCATGCCTTGTCCTCGCAAAGGTGTGGTATGTTGCTCATTCTATCTACCACTGGTTTGGCTGGCCAAGTCTTCCCTATTTGCAGGCTGCTATGATATAGGTGGCGAAAAACAAACACCTTACTTGAGTTTTGTTTGTGCCTTTGTCCATTGGTAATCGTGTTATAAGGTTCAGCAAAAAGATTTATGAACTGTGAAATATATTATTCTAGATCTTTGAGATATGCAACGATGGCCAGCTCATTTAATAATTGCTGCCTTGTCATGGTGCAGACCAGATTTATATACCTACATTGAAATTTATGTTTGACACCCCTTAGATAGTACTGCAGTGAGGCTAACTAATGAATATGAATATTGAAACAAATTGTTTGAGATGTGTTGATCAAAATGTGATCAAAACTTTTCAGGTTGTATCGCAATATTCCAACATCCTGTCACCAATCGCTGTTGATACTGTTCTAAATGTCATCGACCCCGCCACAGCAGATAATGTTGATCTGAAGGACATCAGGATCATCAAGAAACTCGGGTTAGTTACTACATAGTGTTTAGATGATCTCATAAATATTCTATATAAATAACTTTAACCTTTAGTTGCCTTCCTCAAACCCTGTGAGGATACCGGGTTAGATTTGGCCCCCAGCAATCTGTGCAACATGTTGGTCCAGTTGGTCACTTGCTTATTTGCGTCGTACCCCACCTCTCCTTTAAAGGGAGTTAACTATGAAAGTCCCGTTTCCGCCCTTTCTGAACTAGGCTGGAATTATGGAGTTATATTTTGGCTGGACTAATGTGTATCGATATTGACATCTGGTTCACAAACTGCCAGGCATGTTTCTGGGGATTGCAGGATTTTCATGTTTTTAATCAAGGTGCTCACATGATGTGAAGTATGATCCGTTTTATTACACTATAGACATTGATTATCGAGCAGATCAGCTTGACTGGGCGCCATCATTTGTTTGAAGCAAATGCATGTGATATGATAGGTGGAATCTGATTGGGCAATAAGAGGGACATAGAAGGGACATAACTATGATCGAGCTCAGAAATTCCAGCCTATTTTTGGCAAAGGTGGAAACTGGACTTTTTATAGGCAGTTGACGCTAGCCTCAGGAAGGTGACTCTACCCCAGTGGCATGGATCGTTGTTCATAATAACAACTGGGTTGTCTGGTTGTCCGGTTGTCCCCCGCCGCGCGAAAGCGCGAAGCGGGGGATATAGTATTCACGACCGTCCGTACGTACGTCTGTACGCAAATCTGCTTTTGGAGTTGGAAAACGGTGTTGCCGCGATATCTCAAGAACTAATCGCAGGATTGTCTGCATATTTGGAACTATGGTGTATATACAGACACTGCAGACACCAGTCGGTTTTGGTGACCTTGACCCCATTTTCAAGGTCACAGCAGGCAAATCTGCTTTTGGAGTTGGAAAACGGTGTTGCCATGATATCTCAAGAACTAATCGCTGGATTGTCTTCATATTTGGTACTATGGTGTATATACAGGCGGGGGACATTTCGTCACTTTGTGACAAATACTTGTTGTTTATCATTTGCTGTCATATGGTTGGAGTGCAGCATGAAAAACAAACAAAACCTTCCTCACTATGAATGTCGCTCTTGTTACATGATTTACATGGGTCAGTTTTACTTTTCCTGTGTGAAATACACTTTGTCTGTACTTTAAGCCTAGCTTGCAGCCTGCCTCCAGACCCTCAGTATAAGTGTGAGCTGTGATGTTCTATGACATGACAAGCAAGTGTCATCACATCACTAATTTTCATATCATGGCATGACAAGTGACATCAATCATGATGTTATAATGTATTTCAGACTGGTCATCCAGACATCCAGATTCTTTTACAAGTGAAGTGATGTTATGCTTTGTCTAGCCATGTTACATGGAGTTTATGTATTTGTTGGGCCTGTGTATATGTGTTGTTCTTTCCTGACAGGGGCACAGTGGACGACGCTGAGCTCATCAACGGCCTTGTATTCACACAGAAGGCCTCTGGTGGTGGACCTACTAAAATAGAGAAAGCCAAGATTGGTCTGATCCAGTTCTGCATTTCCCCACCTAAAACAGATGTAAGTAGTAATGTAAAACAGATGTAAGATTCTGTGAGCCATGACTTATCTCTAGTCCTTCTCAATTATATGTTTGTAATTCTAAATTTGTTATATTTCGCTAAGAGTTTCAATTTGAGAATAAGTTTCAAGGACATTTTCAGATGCTTACGTTGATATATGATTACATAAAAGACATTTCTCGCCGCGAATAGCTGCAAAATTGCTGATGCGGCGTTAAGCAATATTCACTCACTCACTCAGATGCTTACAGCCCTGTATTATGACACTGGTGGTGTTATCAGATGGAGAACCAGGTGATCGTGTCAGACTACAGCCAGATGGACCGGGTGTTGAAGGAGGAGAGGAACTACATCCTCAACATTGTCAAGCAGGTCAAGAAAGCCGGCTGTAACCTCCTGCTTATACAGAAGTCTATTCTCAGGTATGTATTAGGGGTAGCCAGGTGTTTGGGGTTCATGCGTCAGGAGTTTGGGGTTACGGCATCAGGCGTTTGGGTTAAAGCATCAATGTTTTGCCATATGTGATTTTGTTTTAGGTTTGTCGGTACCATGTGCATTCTCGTGGGTTTCACCAAAGTGGTAAACATCTGAGACCTGCACCACTTTTGGCTTTCCCCAAAAACATTTAGCTGTTGTTAGACCTAACTCTTTAAATTCTTTAAATTAGTATTGCTCGTAGCTCATGGCTTCCAGCATTAGCTTTCCAAGTAATGCAGGTTACTTGCTTGTACCAACACGACAAATGTTAGTCTAACCAAAGTAAGGCTTCACCAAATATTGCAGGTACATCTTACTGGGTAATGACACAAAATGTTTTTCCCACAGGGATGCTGTGAGTGACCTTGCCCTTCATTTCCTGGCAAAAATGAAAATCATGGTGATCAAGGACATTGAGAGAGAGGAAGTAGAGTTTGTCAGCAAGGTTCGTTTTCTGTAAAACGTTGTCTCCACATGCCCTTGGCAGAAAAAAAACTGTCCATACCAATTAGTGTAAAATGAAGAGATTTTTTTATTGTTTTAATAACTACCCTGTGTGTTATATTGTCCACGGTCAATGAATAGTGATCATGTGGTTGTACTTCCAGACACTCAACTGCCGCCCTATAGCCAGCCTGGACCACTTCACTGCAGAGAACCTCGGTAGTGCCGAGTTGGCGGAGGAGGTCTCAACAGGCAGCGATAAAGTTGTCAAGGTGGGCCATTTCATCATCATCAGACAAAACAAAACTGGGAAATAGTGACTTTTGTCTCTCTTCAAATGGAAAATTGTTTCACTATTAGGTTTCAGTCAGTCTGTAATCATTTCACTGGGTTTTGCAGTAGAGACAGAAGCCTCGATAGTGTACAAATCTGCATAGGGAGAAGAGGTTTTCCAGGCTTACATGCAGTATACCTTAGCATTAGTCAAGTAGGCTCAGGCGGCTGTTCCCTGTTACAGCGATCTTAGAGCTAGGACTGCCAACAGTCTGTTAGTTAATGGGAGTTACAATGTTTGTGAAACCAAGCCCTGGTTCAGTACTTCTCTGAATGTTATGTTCTGTTGATGTTATGAAGTTATGTTATGTTCTGGTGATATGGTTAATGTTTTACTTACTGAAATTTCTTGCTGTTCACAGATCACTGGTATAGTGAACCAGGGCAAGACCATCAGTGTCCTATTGAGGGGATCCAACAAATTGGTGCTGGAGGAGGCTGACCGGTCCCTCCATGATGCCCTATGTGTCATCAGGTGTCTTGTCAAGAAGAGGTAGGTACCTTAATCACCTTCTTCTTGCTACATTTCTGTAGGGATTCTGTCCTCGAACCAACTTATCCTGGTCTAAAGAGGCAATGTAATGGGTCAGGTGGTAAGGCTTGGTGATTTGGTTGTTTGTGTTATCAGATTCCAACAGTCTTAAGAGGCAACTAAAGGGATTGGGTGGTCAGGCTCGCTGGCTTGGTTGATGCATGTCATCATATCTCAATTGCGTGGATCGATGCTTATGTTATCAATCACCAGACTCAGTTATTTACAGACCACGTCATATAGCTGGAATATTGCTGAGTGCGATGTTAAACAACAAACAAACAAAAACAAACACAGCATGGTTTGTTGTTCATAATATCAGTCATTGGTTTGTTTGGTCCAGGGCTGATCATTCTCAGGCTGCCGTCCTATTGGTGTCCTATTGAGTGAGGTGTTAAGCACCAAGAATCATATCAACACATTACTGGTTCTCAGTGCAGACTAAATGGTGACCATTTTGCTGACATGTACAGAAAAACAATGTCACAGAAAAGTACTGTAACATTCTCTGATCTGTTGTACCCAGGGCTCTGATTGCTGGCGGTGGTGCCCCCGAGACAGAGTTGGCTCTACGTCTGATGGAGTACGCCAACACTCTGTCAGGCATGGAGCAGTACTGTTACCGAGCATTTGCTGAGTCACTAGAGATTGTCCCCTTCACACTAGCAGAGAATGCCGGGCTCAACCCAATCGCCACAGTGACAGAACTCCGAAACAAACATGCACAGGGAGAGATGACGGCGGGAATCAATGTCAGAAAGGTACAGAAGCAATCATTTATGATTCATGTAGTTGCCCTGAGAGGCAGTACAATCCTGTTGACCATTACAAAAGACCACATGCCTTTTACTGCCAATATTTGGAAAGATTTTCAGTTATTTCTTTTCCCCCATTCCCCATTGTGGGCAAGTATGGCAAAAATGATGAGTTACTTTGTGTTGGATTCCCCATCAAGAATCTTGACTGAGAAAAAACACTCTGATATGCCACCCGATATATCTTGTGATTTCTGCTTGCTTATTGTTCATGTTTTGTGTGTGGAAAGGGAGTACTGATGTTTGATAATACACAAGAGAGGACTTACATAACTGGTGTAAGTGAGCCTTGGTGGTTTGCTTATCAGATTTTTATGAGTGTTATGAAATCCAATTACAGTAGAACATGGATATAACGAACTACAAGGGACCAGAGAATTCAGTTTGTTATATCCGTTGTTTGTTATACACATTTACGCTCGGATACTTCCGCCATCTTGTATAAAACAAATCACAATACACGTAACTGCAGCATTGACTTGTAGTCGCAGGGTTCACCTCATAGCATTCAATTGATAACATTTCATAACATTTCTTTAAGTTTAACAAGGTTTATCCTTTACCGCTGATTGTGTTGATTCGCCGCGATTGTGTTGATTCACCGCTGATTGCGTACAGCCAATTGTCAGTGACACTTGACACTGATTGACACTATCACTAATTAGTGGTAGATGGGCTTGTCGGTGATCTAATATCAGTTCGTTGTATCCATTAGTTCGCTGTAGAGAATTCGTTAAACTTTATATGATATTACGTAGGAGATAAATCGGGGATTTTTTAACAGTTCGTTGTATCCGTGTTCGTTATATCCGTGTTCTACTTTAACATTAAAAGAAGTAGGTAGGATAAGGGCCATTTTTGGCCCACTGGAAATGTTAAACTTTAAAGTTGCAGGAAACTTTGACTTATTGGTTTAAAAAGTATCAGGTATGTCCAAACTGGCCTTTTTTTCTTTGTTACACTTGCACGTTTTGACTTCTGACGTGAGAGTCATAAATTGGTGTAAGATGACTCAACACGTCATGAATGTTTTAGGTGAATGACTGAAAAAAGGCCTTGAGTTGGGGTAAAGTGGCTCAGAACTTTATATATTATGTTTTGCTTGCATTCAGGGTGGTATTTTTTTTTTATGTGAGCTTATTAAAGAATGAAGATAGCATATGCATGACATCACCATTGCTTGTTCTTCAGGGAGCTATAACCAACATCCTGGAGGAAAACGTGGTGCAGCCCCTTCTTGTGTCAACAAGTGCTATTTCCCTCGCAGCAGAAACAGTCAGAAGTATATTGAAAATAGACGATATTGTAAGTAAACTATCACTTTCTCAATTTTGTAACGATTTCTGAATTACTGATTGGCAAAGGATGATGATGTAACGTAAAACAGATGGTAGTATGCATGAAAGATAGCACCATCTGGAAGTGTCAAATAAGATGAGTTATCTCCCTTCATCCATGCTGTGTGATGTACAAAGCAAGATACAGTAAAGTACGGTTATAACGAACTCAAAGGGACTGCTAACTTTAGTTCGTTATAACCGTAGTTCGTTATAAGCATATATACAGCATAACTACAGCAAATAGTCGGGACCAAAAAAGTAAGTTTGTTATATCTGTCAGTTCGTTATAAGCGTGTTCGTTATAACCGTAGTTTACTGTACTGTATTAATATTATTTATTAATATGTTAAGATTATTTATAAGCACTTACAGTTTTTCCTGTAAATGTTACCACTGTTGATTGGTACCAGTAGTTCATTTTTTCTCCTCCATACTTCAGGTGAACTGTCAGAAGTGAGACTACTTTCTGTGGACTTCCTGTCATCATCTAGTGCTGCTTTATCTCGCGCGTCTGCATGTGTTGCCCGACTTCTGTGACTTGGTCACGATGGACACTATCTATTTGGGTGCTTTGGTCATGGCTCACCTTATTCAGCCCAGAAAGAACAATCTACCATGGCTCAAACCTTGCAAGAGGACGGGGCGACATTAACATTATTTAATGTGATATCCTTTCATTTCTTTTTGTATTGTGTGCAGAGCACATGCTGGAATAAATGTTTCAGTATAAGCAATTCTGTTGATTTGTTTTTGGTTTCTCACATTGTCAAACTGCTTGTGTTTTCAGGTGTATCAAGTTACTGTATGGTACAGATGATTGGATTTTGTCAGCTGGACTTGTGTATTTGGTATCCCTGATATGTTGCATACATCTATGTGAATAGTAACATCTTGGCCTGAATAAAACATAAAACTTGGTCGCATTGGAACATAACGATTACTGGAGCTTATTCCTTGAAATATGAGGTTACAGAAATTCTTTATAACGCAGATTAATACTGAACTTTAGTCATCTAAAATGAAGCAAAGAAAGTTGCCTCTCAGGAACTACTACAAGCTCATTATGCCTACTTGTTGAATAAAACTCTTGCATAGTGTTCCCAATATGTTTTGCAAGGTGAGATTCTGTAAACAACTGTGGCTTTAACTCAATAATTTAATAAATGGGGCAATTTTTTTCATGGGGTGTTCCTCTGAATGAAAATGTGTCTAAAACTTATTGACCATATAAAGAGATTGTTATGGGAGCACAATACATGTTTTATTCCTGGTATAATATTTACCTTAAGGTCACACACTCTGCTAGTCTCTGTATTAGCTTCAAGGGCGTGATGAAAGCTAACTGACATTAACAAATGGGATAAACATATTTCAATGGTAAGTGTTTAGGTGAGTGGACAACACTGGTTAAATTCTCCATGGCCAGTTTACAAAGTGGTCTGCAGGAGAAAGAAGTATTCACTCACTCCATTGTCCCCACTGGCCTCTTGGAACTGTGTGATGATTCCTGAATGAAATTCCTCTATGAATCCAATACACATCTGTGTACATCATTATCCAATGGGAATCTATGGTGTTTCTCAGTTAGAAACGGTCCTAATAGCGTCATCTTCCCGAGGGCGGTCTGGTAGCCTAGTGGTTAAAGCGTCCGCTCGTCACGCCGAAGACCCGGGTTCGATTCCCGACATGGGTACAATGTGTGAAGCCGATTTCTGGTGTCCCCCGCCGTGATATTGCTGGAATATTGCTAAAAGCGGCGTAAAACAATACTCACTCACTCATCTTCCCGGAGCAAGAGAGTTAACTGACCATAAAAATCCAGTTTCCATAGTTAACTCTCTTGCCTCGGGAAAATGTTATAGCCTATGCTTGTAAGTGGACGGAATGGATGAGATGGTAAGGTTCGGAGACTTGTTTCATTGCCTGTCATTGTACCAGAGGTCATGGGACGTTGCTCATTATATAAGTGGCTGGTTTGTCTGTTCCACACACTCGTCATAATGTTTGGATATCGCTGACTGCAATGTTAAACAAATAAAGGAATCGAACACTATAATGGGCAATGAGGTGAACACCAGTGGAGTACTGCGACTGTTTGAATGAGGTGTCTCCCTGCAATGCAATATTAGCTAGGGGTCATCAAGACCGAGCTTTTAAATACTCAACCTGTTTGTTGTTAAGCGCTGGACTCGCAATTTGATGAGTTCGCACCTGTATATGTGTGAGAAGACAAGGGCTAATTCTATTACAACGAAGTAGAAAGATGATGCGCATGTGTCTGTTTCACAAAGAGTTTCATTGATTTAATTGTTGTTTAACGCCAGTGCTAAGAAATGCAGTCAATGTAGTATGAATTACCACATGAGACGAGGTCTCCAACCACAAATATGTGTTTGTTTATGACGGTCATAAATCTATATCAAGGCTGGGTTCACAGTTATAGCCTTCGCCACTTGAAATAGAATCACAAAATACCGTGATGAATATTAAATGAGGATGCATGTGTGCTAATACTTATAAATTGAAAACTATCTATTCCGCCTATAAGGAATATTGCTTAAAGCAATGACAATATTGCAAAGTGCGCTTTCAAAAAAATGTCAATTTCCAAGCGGTAAACATCATTGAGTTTGGATCACGTGGTTACAATACGGGAAAGAATCGACAGGCAGAATCACGGCGGCCGAGACGACTGGGACATGCGTGCCTCTTTGTTCAGTAGACATAATATATAAAATAACCTATAAATGAGAATGAATGCATCAAGAAGATATAGTTATAAACTCCGTAACAGTCTCCTGTAAGTGTTCAAATGATTTAATATGCCATACTGACTTCAGAAAATGCGTGATTTCATTAAAAAAAACATGACCATGCCAAAATGTCAATTTACAAATCAGTAGCGTGTGTGTCCACCTCTGGTTGCGATGCAAGCAACACATATTCGTCTCATGGAATGGACCAGGCGTCGCACAAAGTCCTGTGGGATATATGTCCATATATGCTGGAGCATGTTTCGAAGTTCCTGGAGTGTCTGTGGAACACGTGGTTGACGTCGAAGGGGCCGATCCATCTCATCCCACATGTGCTCGATTGGTGAGAGATCAGGGGCGCGAGCCGGCAAGGGGATGACATTCACGTTGTTTTGTTGAAGAGAATCCTGAACAAGTCGAGCAATATGAGGCCGGGCGTTGTCATGTTGAAAGGTAATGCCTGGGTCATGACGACGCAAAAACAGTATAACAACAGGGCCGATGATCTCGTCGCGGTAGCGCTGTCCATTGAGATTTCCCTCTGCCACTATCAAACGGGTCGTCTGTCTTGCTGTAATCCCACCCCATACCATAACGCTGCCGCCCCCGAAACGATCTTCTTCCATGACACAATGATTGACGTAACGTTCACCTCGACGTCAGAACACTCGAATCCGTCCATCGTTGTGGCTGAGGTGAAAACGAGACTCGTCAGTGAATAGAACTTGTCCCCACTGCATGGCCGTCCAGCGTAGACGCTGTCTGCACCACTGTAGACGTGCTTGACAGTGGTTTCCTGCTAAAATGTTAGATTGTCTTGCAACATCACCACGACTCGATCCTGCTTCAAGCAAACCAATGGCTCGCAGACGCTCATTTTAGGAAAAGCGTTGCATTTCGTAATGTTGAATAATTGCGTAATTTTGTTGTTTTTCTGAGTGGTTGTTGTCAGCACGATGCTAAACAATGCATATGTAATCCCGTTAACGCACGTGTTTTATACCCATTCTTGGGTAGTGAAATGCATGGGGCTTGCATAAAAGTAAACTTTTGCATGGAATGCATGCTTTTCTGTAGCCGTTGCGTCTTTGTGACTTGTTTCCATACATGTACTACAACATTGAAAACCAAACTTTACTTGTTTGAAAAATACACTAAAATATTGGTGTCACAAGAACTTTTGTTGTTGAGTATATATACTGAAACGCGAAGTGGGACACTGGTAGCCCAGCCGTCTTGAGCGCCGCAATTCACTGTACAGAGTCGCGTCTATTGGGGGACACGAGAAACCTAGGACTGTGTTCGAATCCCCGTTCGCCAAAATTATTTTCTAGGTTTGTTAGCACCGTGCTCTTAGGTTTCACCAAAGTCGCAAACGTCCGAGACCTGAATAACATCGGGCTTTCCCCCCACGTTAAGCTGACACGTCGAGATATAACTGGAACACTGTTCAAAAGGGCGTTAAACCCACCACTTGCTCTCATCGAAACGCAAAGATACATGCACACCAAGCTACCTATAATACACATACATTGTAATGACTTCCTTATACATGAGAAATATGACGTCATGAATTTAATCCCCATGCAATGTTTTCTGTGAACGCACCCCGTGCAAAATCGGATTTCATATAGTAGAACGTGCGTTTTTCCATGATGAAACGCATGACGTTTCGTTCTTATTATGTGAGCCCATCCCAAGCATAGTAGCTACGGTAGTCGTACAGCACAAGGATCGCCTTGTTCGAAGAAGAGCCGGATCAGTTTACTCCTGGTTGTGGTGTATCTGAAGTCTCGTAGATTCTCGAAGTTGTCAGCAATGTATTCGTAACCAGGGTTTCGTTCCACGAGGGAATCACAGCGCTACGACTGTGTAAGTCTATGATGTGTGTTAAAGTGTATAGGATTAACGCTTGTAGATCTTTTTGTTGAACAGGACCCGGTTGGTTGGTTGGATTGTTGTTTAACGCCGCACTCAGCAATATTCCATCTATATGGCGGCGGTATGTAAATAATCGAGTCTGGACCAGACATTTAGTGATTAATATCATGAGTATCGATCCACGCAATTGGGATCGATGACATGCATCAACCAAGTCAACGAGCCTGACCACCCGATCCCGTTAGTCGCCTCTTACGACAAGCATAGTCGCCTTTTACGGCAAACATGGGTTGCTGAAGACCTGTTCTACCCCGGATCTTCACGGGTCGAACATGACCCGGTCATAGATATAGATATTTTTAACTATTTATAATTTAGACTAGGCACGAATAACATGACGCATTGCCTATGAAGACGCATGTCCTGATGTTCATGTTCCAGAACACGGTTGTGTTTCCACCTTGGTCTGCGTGGTCAGGAAATATTCCAGCTATACGACATCGGCTTGTATATAATCAAGTCTGGATCAGACAATCTAGGGACTGACATTGTGAGCATCGATCCACAGGCAATAGGGATACGATGACATGCAATCAACCAAGTCACATATCTTTTTCATCGCCTCTTCGACCAGCATAGGTTGTTGGGGACCTGTATTCTTACCTGGAATATACAGATGCCTTCTGTCAAGACGTGTTTCAGTAGATGTCAGCTGGATAGGACATATGATGCCGGTACACACGCGAAGCGACATGGGCGAATACTATACATCAGAGTATGCCGCAACCCATGAAGATCCGGGGTAGAATAGGTCTTCAGCAACCCATGCTTATACCGTAAGAGGCGACTAACGGGATCGGGTGGTCAGGATCGCTGACTTGGTTGATGCATGTCATCGATCCCAATTGCGTGGATCGATGCTCATGAATCATGATATCAGTCACTGGATTGTCTGGTCCAGACTCGACTGACGTGCGGCATTAACAATAAACACACACAGAGTACGCAACCAATAAAAAGAAGGCACCGCGTTTCCAGTACACAGTATACCCTTTATAAAGCGAAAGTTCATGTATATAGGGACATATGTGTTAGA